CGAGGGGATGCAACCGAACTAAAGGGTTAGCCGACCCCCGACGGTTAGCTGGCTTCAGCTGAATCAGCGACTCCGCCGATCTGCTATCCCCGGAGCTAAAAGGGAACATCATAGGCCGTGGTAGAAGCCCGACCCGCCATTGACTTAGGGAGTATACCCCAATAGGGATACCCCGACGTCTAACCCTCCAACCCTTCGACCCTCGGACTAGAAGGGTCGAACCTAAAGGAAACCCCAGTTCACCGGGATAACTCGTACGAATAGCGGCTGGCTAGCGGTGAACTGTGACTACACAGTTCGTCTCTCGTCAGCCACTCCGGCAGAAGGATCCTGGAGGCCGACCCCCGGATGAAAGTACGACCCATGGAACGTCACACCGGGACGAATCGTACGAATAGCGACTGGACAAGCACAACTGCGCAACACACAGTTGTCCTTGCTCAGGTCCCTCCGACAGAGGAATCCCGGCTAATCCGTTCCGTAACTCGGACCATAGAGCCCAATAGGCTCTTACCCTCGGATCCTATTAGCCCGGACCTCGTTGACATAGGCAGCGAAAAGTCCTATATCAGCCAGGCCCTGGTGACAGCCTCAGTATCGGACCCTTCGCACGAAAGGAGGTTGTCCAGGGGTTCCCAGCATGATCTGCTGAGAACTCCTGCTCAAACCCAGCCGGCAGAAGGACCTGGTGGAACCACAGTTCCATAACTCCAGCCCTCGGAGCCCAATAGGCTCCTAATCTTCAACAGAATGCGGACCGTGTGGTACAGGAAGCTATACCTCCTGACAACCCGATCCGCACGACTCATCGACTCAACTGAGTATGGATTACGTGGACCCAGGAAAAGATACCTCCTCGGTCAGCGAACCCATATGACCTAATTTCCGGAACTCAATTCAAGAGGATTCCGCTAACATGGTGCCGAAAAAGCGACCGCTCTTTTCAGCACCGTGTTTGCCAACGACCCATGGACACCCCGGGAATCGGAGTAATAGCTGGCTGACTGACCGTCACTCAAAGTCAGCACGAGAGCCCAATAGGCCTCGGCAGCATAACTCCGGCGGAATCCGTCGTACGAAAAGCGACGGGACGGTGCTGCGCGGCGCGATCCGCTTCGCTCCACCGGCCTGTCCCTCCGGCAGAAGGACCCTCGGAGGATGCAAGCCATCGCAGATCGCGTATAACCACGATCTCTACTCCACCAAGGATGCCCATCGAGGCCCAATAGGCCTCCCTTCCACCCCGGAACGAAACGGAGGAAGTGGGACATTAGGGCACACTCATGCCCTTACCCCTGCTCACGAAGCTGTGTTGGAGTAATGGTATGAGTGACCGGCATGACCATTTCACCGCGAATCGGACCTTGGTCACCGGAAGGATGTACCAGGACATTAGGGTACACGGGTGAATGCGTATATACAACACCAGTATATAAGCATTCTTCCGCGTCCGACATGACTGAACCCCTGACGGAGGCTACGGACGCCCATAACTACGCCAATAGGCCCAATAGGCCTTTAGCCCCAGCATCATTCCGGCATCCCGGGTGTTTCCGCCTAAGTGGAAGCACGGGACCAGCCGTGGAACGGACCAGCATGGATTCCGTCTTTAAAACTTAGAGTGTCTACCTCGTGGCTCAGACCCAATTAGGTCTTATACAGCCGCTGAGGAGCCTCTTTTGCATGATTTTTGCTAGTCACTCGGTGGACATCTCGAGCATCAAGCGGACTCCCACCAGAGCATGTTGGGCCAGTCTCGTTACCGAGGTTTGGACCCCGGACACCGAGGCTAACTGACCCTCGGACACCTACTCGGACCCTGTCCAGAGGCATTAACCCTCTCCATGTTACCCAATAGGTGACGGGAGACGTTAAAAAGGGTTTTTGCCCGGGCAGAATGCCTTAGGACCAGCCTTACTGGATGCTGACTACCTCACCACCGAGGCTACCCCGGACATGGGGGATGGCCCGGGTAGTAACTTCATCTTACCGGTGAAACCCTCGGTAGGGTTGCCCAATAGGTGACCTACACCGTTAATAAGGGTTTTACCGGGAGGAAGCGACCATCAGACCGTCAACTATCAATCAACCGAGGCCAACCGACCCTTGGACCCTCGGACTTCAACCTTCAAAGTCCGGAACCCACCCTTCACGTGTTACCCAATAGGTAACCAGAGAGGGATTTGGGATCTCTGACCGGACAGAACACCCAGCACATCGCGTAATCACGATCTGCCAGCACAGCGAGGGTACACCGGGACTTTACCTCGAGTACCGAGGCTGCATCTATCAACCCTTCGAACCTGGCAAATACCCTCTCCGAGTGGCCCAATAGGTGACAGGAGACGAACATAGGATTTTCAGCCGGGCGGAACACCACCGTACCCAATTGCCAGTACAGCCGAGGGTACCACCCGGACTCTAACTCGAGTACCGAGGCTACTAATGGACTTAGACTCAGCAACCGAGGCTGAGCCTGGATTCTGATTTTGCAACCGGAGGTGACCCTCGGTCACCGAGGCTATCATCGGACTTCAAAACTTGAAGCCAACCGGATGAGGGATCGGACTCCTGCACAGAGTCATTTGGACCAGACGTGGTTTACACTGCACAGTGCAGTGTAAACCACGTCCACCGACCATTCAACCTTTTGGAGACCAGGCATCAACCGGTCCTTGTTACCCAATAGGTGACAGGACATGACATTACGGTTTTGCCCGGATGAAACCTCGGATCACCGGACATTTCGGACGATCCACCGACCAGTAGACCCAATAGGTCTTATTCTGCACTCAGAGAGGGTACCTTATGGTATTCGCGAATGCGACAGTGCCTCTCCATCAACCTTACCCGATGAACCCTGGCTGGATGTAAGGACGACCGTCTGACCCGGCTACGAAGGTTCCAAGCAAACTTTTACCGGAGGATCCCGGTCGGAAAGTGTGTTTCACGCCCGTTTCGCACCCGACAACGGAGATCCATACTCTTACCCGAAGTCAATAGGGTCAAACCTTCGACCCTCGGTGAATTGAACCGGCACCATTGGGTATCCCGAGAATTGATGCCTCGGACCTAGACGACCGGACTTCCAGTGGACTGGAGCCCCCGTGAAGCGGACGAGCTCTAGTCGGAATAAGCACCCGGCCCAAAGCCCCGGACCAAAGACTTTGAGTTTACTTTTTTTTATTATTAATCTCGAAATGATGTTCTCATTTTATTGATCTTTTTTTAACCCGCTCACCAGGAATTGTGATGTTATTTTACTAGAGAGAGAGACAGACGGAATAATACTTCATTTTTTTACTTTTTCGCCGTTACGGACGCGACCAACAGATGCCTACACCGGTCCAACAATACCACCGACCGACCTTCGGATTTCGGCCGTGAGTTGTATCGCCACCACGGGTCCGGAGGAGAACGCGGCACGAGACACCCCCATCATCGGATACCTCCGAGACGCAGCCACCGACCCCAATAGGGTCGTGTGCGGAGCGGGCACTGGAGCGGTATGAGGCCGGTCCTTCGCAGGGGCTCGGACTCCCGCCCAGAGGCATGTTGGGCCAGTCGCTATGGCAGCCTACGAGTAGGCAGCCAGCGACGGTCCCGCTTCCGGTGTGCTGACTCACACCGAGTCGCACTCGCTGTCGAGCGCTAGATCGGCCTCGACTCAGGCAGCTTTCCGCCCAGCCTTACGTCTCGGCTAATCATCGGCCTCGATGTAGGCGGAGCTACGCCCCATCTCTACATCTCGGCCTATTAGCGTTCGATTCGCTCGTGTTGGATCTGCCCAGTGCCGCATTAGGCTTTTTCCATGCTTTGGCTCGATGTGCCGTTCATTCTGTTTCACTAGCATTATCATTCACTGTACTTTCACGATACTGCTCGCACCTCGAGCCTTTGTGTGTTGGTTCTTCACTTTATTGCTATCACAATAAAGCCTTCTCTCACTATCGTGAGCCTTTGTTCGCCAGCTGTCACAGTGTTTTGCGTAATCGATGTTGATCCATGGTCCTGAATACAAAAACGTAAAAGTACTGTTGTTCGCAATTTATTAAAATAAAGATCTACCATTATTTCTAAGGTAGTTCGATTATGCAAGTACTAGTACATTTCAGATCTGATTGCCTCCACCCATTGTCAATACCGGCGCATTATTAATGGTGCACGTACATTCATCACAAACCGTTTGCTGCAAATTAATTCGTACTGTAACTGTAAGGCAGTGTAAGCAGTAATTTACACTGGTTTGAAATTTCCCAGAGCAACAAATAAAAACACATTGCTTCCACATATTTGAAAAAAAAAAGTTGAAAATCCTTATCTTGTGGAGAGTTTTTCGGTTTTCTTGAATAATTACGGATATGGTCGTAGCAGTTCCTCGGATTACGGATATGGTCGGTTTCTCTAGCGCCAGCTTATGTTGCTTGTGGTATGTTATGTCTAGCAAAGCTGTTGGACTCACGGCCATCAAACAATCAGCTATTGTGCCATGGCTTATACGATTTTGAAAACGATTTGTTACAGATGGCCCGGCTGCCTAACGCGGTGCGCTGTGCTGCCGTAGAAGAATCCAGCAAACTAGCAAGAGACAGACGGGCTATTCCCGGTCCCGAATGTTCCAAGGATAAATCTAAATGTGGTCCCGGCATGCGCTGCATCTTCAACAAAGGCGATAAAGGAGAATGTCATGTTTTACGGGACCTTGAACAGTATATATACACTCTTTTAACTTTTCCTGTTTATCTTGCGGATCCGCGCTTCAGTCGGCGATTGTGCATATATGATGCTTAGCATTTGCACTAATCAGAATAAAGAGAACTTCTTCCCGTTTTGGCCGTTTTCCGGTCATGGCAGGTAATGTTTATTTAGAAATGAACGGCGCATGATCCTGGTAACAACGGATTAATAGGTTGACAACAATGTCATGCGCTGACCTTTGGTGCAGCATTTACATATAATACTCGTATAAACTCTCATCGGTAAAGTAGGCAACCTCTTGTTGTACTGCATATAAAAATATTGCTACATATTATTCTTTCAAAAGTCCGAATCTCGTTTGCCTGTCCTTTATAATAGATGTCTATGTATTAGAATTTTCTGTCTGCGACGATCTAGTTTACTTAACAAACTGCGACGATATACTTTAACGTTTTATAAAAAGTTGAAAATCCTTATCTTGTGGAGAGTTTTTCGAGTTTCTTGAATAATTACGGATATGGTCGTAGCAGTTCCGGTTTCTCTAGCGCCAGCTTATGTTGCTTGTGGTATGTTATGTCTAGCAAAGCTGTTGGACTCACGGCCATCAAACAATCAGCTATTTCCAGATACTTCGATAGACAGCCTTCCCACGATTTGGTTCTGGCTAACCGCGTACTGGATAACGTGCTTATTGCATACGTATCTGTAATCTGCAGCTGTAAATTCATGAAAGGCTATGGGCATAATTTTTAAATTTGCAATAATTACCAAATTATAAATTACATTTAGGCTTTAGTAAATAGCTTAGTACTTATTTGCATTTAGTACATACTTAGCTATTACAAATTACACTTAACACATTTAGTACCATATTATTACAAATTACATTTAGTACGTACTTGACTACTGATTAGTATTACAACGCTCGTACTTTGGTTTAAGTAATAATTATTATGAGATGAAAAGCACTCGCGTCGTTACTGTACTTCACTAAGTGCTTAATGTTGTCATGCGGTGACACAACGACAAGCACTAAACAAGGCTTCGTGGACGCAGTTGACAACTTGCGTAACTGAATGTTTCAAAATGGGTAACGACATCTCATCAGAATTACCACCAGAATTTGATCCAGACCAAATAAGACGATTATATCTTCGGTTTTTCAAGCTGGACTCAGACAACAATGGCTATATCTCCCTGGAGGAATTCACCGCTCTACCACAAGTGCGAGCGAACCCTTTGGCCACGCGCGTTCTAGAGGTTTTCGATCGAGATGGCAATGGGTTAATTGATTTCCGGGAGTTTGCGCAGGGCATGACATTATTCAGCAGCAAAGCCAATATCGAGCAGAAACTGCGGGTAATCTTCAGCATCTACGACATGGACCGAGATGGATTCATTTCCAATGCGGACTGCTTTCGGGTATTAAAAATGATGGTCGGAGATAACCTTACAGATGTGCAACTGCAGCAGACCGTCGACAAAAGCATAATTTACCACGATAAAGACGGTGATGGGAAGCTGTCGTTTTCCGAATTTAAAGACACGATAGGCATGTTGGGATCGCAAGGAGATAAACTGGGAGTGACCCTTTAGCGATGAAACGTGTTCGTGATTGGACGAACACTGATTTATCAGGATTGCGATTGTAGCGCACTAAGCGCAGATCAATCATAAGTTCCCTTCGAGAAAGGGCCGGCCGGAACGTTGTGTTCCAAAATTTCTGAACGAGTGTACATGTAGTCTCATAATATAACAGAAAGCCAATTAATGGGTTGAGTTGGCACATCCTGCAATATTCCTTTCCTAATTTTAATAGTAAAAATAAAATATACTAACAAAGTTGAATGCTGTCCCTGTTGAAGTCAATATCTCACGATCACCAATAAAACAAAACTTTATCGCTTGGGTGAAGCATTTACTCGTATTTAACACGGTATTGTGTCACATCATATATACAGGCAATCTGTATGTGATCAGCCACAAAAACACTGGCAAGCTTTAGTATCCGGTCAGTTAATTCAAACGACGGCTTCGTGGCACCAAGTGCAGTTGTGCTTCGGGTTGATGGGTCAGGAATTCCTTTATCCGAACATGATCCTCTAAAACGGCATCTGTATCGGATGTAACAGCTCTCAAACAGTAGCTTTTGGCAACAACGTTTGTTAGTGAACCAAGTGATCGGGACAAGATGGCAAAGACAACGTTTGCAGCGGTAGTGAGATCTTCGAGGTCGACCTGCAAATAATCCTTTCTTTAAAAATTTTGTATTTAAATTCACTTTACTAGAAATTTTAAAATTTACTTAATTAAAAGCTGTAAATCTAAGGACAGTACCTCCGTGCTCTTGACATTTTTCTTTACAAGTTCATGAAGCGATTCGTTCTGCGTTTCCAGGTCCCGGAAGTTGGCAGTACCGATAATTATACTGACCGATTTGTCATCATTGTAAATCACAGGCTGATTGTTGTCATTCGGTCGGTGGTTTTTCTTGCGCGGTGGTTTCAGCGGCTGCAGTGGGCTGAACAGTGAGATCCGTCCTGCAGGCGAGCGGTCACGTGTCATGGTGCGGATCAAGCTCGGCATCCAGCGTGTTTCTCCCCAAATACTCTCCAGCCGTTCTTGTAGTAACTGCACTTTATGAAGCAGTGCACCTGTTTCCTCTTCTTCATTGGTTTCCAGTTCCTGATGGCAATACGTCCGGTGTTAATCGATTTCATATCAGAATGATGTCCCTGATTTCGTCACTTACCTGGCGCAGTAATTGCTGTAGATGAACGACCAAACCTTCGAGAATAACAGAAGACTGCGCATACGTTGACCAGGCCAGCGTTCGATAGCGAAAATGAAACCCTAACAGGAATGCACTGATAATTAAATTATAAACCTTTGGTATAACTGCAGTATGGTATACCGGCTTCAAATATTTGAACAGGAACAAGACTACAGTTTTTCCGTAATTCTTCATCCAGTGACTGATGAGACGACAAGCCTCGTTTCTCCCCATAAACAACTAGTATCGAGGTTTCCGGTCCGAGTTCGATCACTTCCGGAAAGAGAAACAACTCCTCTACACTGCGTAATGATAAGCTGGACTTCAGTGCCTGCCAACTGTCTTGAAGTAGGCTCTCCAAGTAACGCACACGTTTCGGCGCACCGGTTACCTTCCGGGTTATGAAATACCACTCATCACTAAAATTGATCCTCGGGAATTTATAGTATAACATCAAAACCTATCTATAGAGAGCGAAAAATGTTTGCGTATAATACCTAGAAATGTAAGCGTTGGAACGTATCTTTGCTGAAGGAAGAATATTTGGCCACTGTTTCGCGGTGACTACTGCAATACTGTCTAAGTTAAGGCTCAATTCGGCGTATGCCATATGCAGTCCAGGAGGAAGGGCTTTGTGCATATCATGATACCAGGAATATATTTCCTGTAAGCACGAAATGGACAGCATAAAGAATACGTACATTCACAGACATCGGCAATTGAATTACAGCAGCTTTACCGCAGTGCTTGCCGTGGAAATAGCAGACATGATCGGATGGGAGTGGCCAGTGGCCATTATGTCGGCCTCCTTCAGTGATTTCCATTGAAACCCCGACAATTTGCCAACATCCGATTTGTTGACCTTTTGTATTAACAACAAAATGCAGGAGGTAAACTGCTTATCCCTTAACGGTCGGTAATAGGCTATTCCTAGATTCGGCATCGTCAGCAGGTTCTAAAAATGTACACAGAGTTACTTCACTAAAAATTCTACACAACCAGGAAACAAGATATGTTGCCTTCCAGTAAGAGGAGAATACCTGTAGATTAGAAACAGCTCGGACAATGCGGTACCGTAAATCAGACGATGAATCCTTGGAGGAGTGCAGAAGCTCCTTTATTTCGGCGACAGCATCCCAGCAAGTTGTTAACTACGAAACGTATGGAATACTAAAGCGATTTCTAGCGAATTATTGTAATCTGGCTGCTACCTTTTGAAACCACAAGTAATCCTTTGAGCTAATGGAGCCAATAAATGGAGAATGCACGACCACCGACGGTAGTGTGTACTCATTGGTCAAAAGTATCGAATCGTCCGCAATCACCATACACTAAAAATAAATTTGAGATGACATTTTTTTCTTGTTATTCCGAAATTCCCACCCAGTTTACCGACAGAAACATCCCGCCTTCGTCTTCCGCATTAGCCGGCCGAATATGAGGTCGAATGAGATCGCGAATACTATCTTTTAAGCTAGCCCTGCGCTGCACGGCTCGGTGTAAATGTTGACGTTTCTCCGGTGTCCGAGTGTGTCGGCGCTCCGGATAGTTCAGCATATACTTTGTAATCGTTCTGATATTCTGCAAAATCTTCTCCAAGTTGTGAACAGTGGTAGTGTCCAGTCGTGTCCTTTGTCCATCTACATCCCTCCAGGCTGAATCAACAAGCGCAGCATGAAACCGCTGTACAAGAGATTTGTTTTAATGTTAAAACGAAGCGTACATGTTATGACCACAGAAGATGGCGTTGCGTTTAGTGGAATTCCAAAACCTGATAAATTAGCAACGGATAGCCGGAAGTGATACTCGATGCCGCAGTCCAGCTCCGATATTATCAGACGTTCAGGATTCATCAAGTTAGAAAAAATTTGGTAATCCACAATCCCTTTGAACGACGTGTCGCGGGACCACTCCACTGCAAATAAAATTTAACATGCTTTATATCGGTAAATTTGAGTAATATTTATCTTCACTGGTTATTAATTACTTAGCAGAGATTTTGTAAACTATAATTATATATCCGTCAGTTTTCAACCGAACTTTTTCACATAGGTTAGTGTATCTGCACAATACAGAAGTTGATACCGATGCTTATCAATTAATTAGACCAACCCTTAAATCTGGATATAACTCCAGGGGGAATCGATCGTGGCTCATATGAAACAGCAACCGAGCAGTCTCCACAAGGTTCAACAATAACCCGGTCCAGATAATTCCTTGGAGGTCCTGTTGAAATAAAAATAAAACCAATGTCCAAAATCCAAATGAAATGCGCTTAAATTCATTAAGGTATGCTGCAATGAGTTTAATTTTGCACTTACTAGTTCTCTCTACATTTTGCATCATCTTCTGCAACACGGCCATGGTTGGCCCGACGGCCACATCGGCGACCAGCTGTCTGGTGTCGGCACTATGCTCACGAATTCGAGAGGGCACTTGAATGGCCTCAAGACGGCGAAGTGCTTTGCGCAGAACTTCTTGTCGACGCTGTTTGGACTCACACAGCCACTCCGTCTCCTTACCGCCGTTCTTGAATAATTCCGCGGCGATTTCCGCATATCCGAGCATAACCGCTTCGTCCACTAAATTCCATCCCCATTCATTAGGGGCGTTAATGTCGTATCCATTTTCCATCAGTTTTTTCATGATGTCAACGAATATTTCTGTCTAAAATTAGCCGACATGTGTTGCTCCATTTTGGCGCCCAAATGTATTATACTTCACCGGAAGTTGACTTACCGGCGTTTTGATTTACGTAGCACGCTAACTACGCCCAACATACCTCGTTTTTACGCGCGGCTGTCCATAACAACTGTTCAGCCAGCTGACGCTTTTTTACGTCGTTTCCACGTTCAAAAATGTTCGTCACAAAACCGTAAAAATTTTGGAGGAGACGCGTATTCAGAGATGGTGATCTCCAGCGTGATGTCCTGTCTCTGTTCGTGTCCCGGTTAGCCACCAGCGATCGTCCGGTCCTGTACTGCTTTGGTGGTACTTGAATCACTGTTACACTTTCTTGTCTTCCATTGGCTTGAGGCAAACGGCGAAAATTTAGGCGTTGATCCGAGCTAAAAAGTTGTAAAAATTAGATTGCATCCTCAGGCTGTTTTATTTATAGTTGCAAAGTTATGTATGTATTATTATGTAAATTGCAAAAACTGGCCTTAATGTTGTAACAGGCATCTGTCAGTTGTGGGTCATTCAAATGGCAATACAGTATTATCTGTAATTCTGATTCTGTATGCATAGGTAGCATGCAGTTTATTATGCTTTCTACACGTTTCCCTATTTACTAATGTTTGCAAAATCAAAATAAATATTTGAAACAAATTATTCGTAAATTAGCAATAATATGTTATGCTTCAAAATAATTATCAAAGGCATGAATTTAAATTAAATATCGTTGGTTAAGCTGGAGCAACCGACACGCGACTTACTGGTAGCGGTCAACAGACCGCGATCGATCCACATTCTCTTGCATTATCCTGATGAAATTGGCTGTTTGGTCGGCTTATTCCGATGGAATGCTCAAATAATAGTCGCTTGCTGACTTTTTAGCGTAATGGAATAACATACTCCCGGCAAAGCAATAAAATTTTGCAGTTAAATTTCCATTGTACATATTTGCAACGAAAACAAGCAACTCCGTTCTATGATCATCAAAATGATGAAGTATCATACAACATAAGAAGCCAAAAGCTAAAACGTTAATGGGCGAAAATTCCGCTCCGCACAGAACAAATGATTTGGTACAGTTATGTGAAAACAATTCAATGTGTGGTCATTAATATCCGCGTTATCCGGAGGGTAACGTTGGAAGAAAAACGCGAAAGACAGTGTTGCACGTCGGCGTGCAACTCAAGATCATCGGCGCGTCGGCTGATACGGCGGTATACACTACGGCAGATCAGAGTCAGTTTGATCGCAAATAATCACGGCTTACCTGTTCGACAAGTCCACGTCACTGACCAAATAAATTTACACTCATTCACACCATTGGCAATCGAACTCTGTACTTGACTTAATACAGCGCACAAACGATCTCTAATGCTTTTATGACCACACAAAACGGCGCAAATATTTCCGTTTATCGGCAAATTAAATTGGCTATTTTTGCTTAGGTGTTCAAAACGAGCGGGAAAATCTCTGTTATCAAACATGTTTATCATGTTGATCAATTTACACGAAATCTGTTTAAATATTAGCGTATAAGACCTGATAATCCGCAAAGTCGTTTAAAGAAAGAATACTTTGTTGTTTGTGAGAATCACTTGACAAAGTCGGTTATGTAAGTCTATTAACGTCAAATTTCCATCGTTAAAAGCTAATATTTAGGTTGACTTCGTGACTTCGTGGCGGAGGATGTAAAAATTTGTAAATAATCACAACGGTTAGGTTTTTGATTAACAAGAAAGTGCGTTTTAATTTTACCGTATAATTATGTGACACCACTTTCTACGTCTTATAAGACGCCGGCTATTCCAGATCCGGGCCATACACTAAAAATTCTTCGCAAGATACATTAAAAATGGCTGTGCGTATTTTAATTTTTTCCACACATCTTGTTCATATATTTGGGAATGCAAATAGTTTGTTATCTTTGCAGCGAAAACCACATATAATATCGCGGAGTGTGTACAGTATAGTACAGTATGCGGATGCAACGCCTGTATTCTACGCACTGCATAACTTCCCCGTTCCCAGTAATAACATCCTCCGTGCTTTGTTATCATTCGGCACACTTTTGCCAGCCAAACAGTAACACTTATTTTGCAAACACTTCAAAGCGCACCGGCATCGGAGGCGGTCAATTTGATACGATACATCAAGCAGCTACAGCGCACAATGTATGTAATTTGCGCATATTGAACCAAATCTGCTTGATGTTGCGTGGTAAGATATGTTTCCGGATACCAGTACTTGTACAGTAAACCAGTTACTTGAAGTCATTTCCAACTTACCAGTAGTTAACCGTGACGAGGAGCGGTAAGTTATAACGGTACATGCGTATAATTGCCGCTAGTGTACGGCTTTTAATGCGCTGTTTATGGTGATTGTTTGCAATCGATCAAGCGTGATCAGTTGTGAATTATGGTGGCGGCATCCGAAGGCGATGTGTAGATGCTGTAGATGCTGTAATATTAACCACTGACCATCCTGGTTAAATCTTTTGTATGAAGCTTGCAAACCGCATACTATGCCATCTACATTTTGAATATTGTTGACCTGCAGAAGAATTGTAATTTGTAGTAATAACTATACTTACGCGCGAAAATTTTTGACTGATATCACTTCCAGCAGGTAATAAAACTATTGTTCGCACTTTATTTGGCGCTCTTGACTGCCCTTAAACAAAATTTGATGGTATTATTTCGACGATGCTTCATGTCTGTAATAAATTTTGTGTGTTCAGAAAAAATGAAAGGTTCGCTACTCTGGCTGGCGCGCGTCGAGGTCCGATAAAGCAAGTTCTGGGACTTCTCGATAGTGCCTTTCGTTAAAATAATACCACACACCATTGCGTTTTCCAATAAAAACTTTAAAGTTGCTAAATTTAAAAGAATTTCGATCACAAAATTAACAAAAGAAAATTAATATAACAGAAAGCTGTACTGCATTTGATTAAAAACACGCCACACTCCGGAAATTTGCATATTAATTCCACTTGCAGTTCATGTAAATCTGAAATGCTTTGCCGCTATTCAAATCTTCTTGTGCTGCTATAAACACTGAAGGATATGTTACGAACACACAATTTTATAAGTACTGCAACACATAATCAAGTTGTATTATCGTAGAGAACATAGCCGTTAAATGGCGCCCAGATTTCTATGATGTACACGCGATATTGTTACTGCGAAGTAAACAAAATAACGGTGTCCGAAATGTAGAACGTCTTGTCGATGATGTAATCCCAGGGTTGCATGGCGTTAAGCGGTTCGGCATCGTCCGTTACACACAGCAATGGCGGCAGCAGTTTTGCATGGTACATCTTCTCTTCCAAATCAACCAATGGCATTGCCGGAAGCGCGATCTCTGGTGGCGCTGTCTGTTGCTTTCTGGCTTGATAATACTGTACATTCAGATCCAGGTTTTGGTTCGAAAGGTTGATTTCGGCGAGCTCCCTTTCTAACTCCATCAGTTTTAGGGTCAGTTTAACCGTCCGAATCTTCTCGGCACTTAATTCCTGAGACAGCTTGCTGAATTCTTCCATTAATTCGGACGATAATGTTCGATCAGTGTTCACCGACGTCATCAGCCGAAACGGTTTAACGTAAACATTTTCGTCATCGCCTACGCAGGCGATCTCTACATGGTCATCTTTTATCCAATAATCTCGAATTACTCCGTGGAGACACGGTGGGATATCCAAGATGTTATCGAGCGCTTTGTCGTAATTGGCAGCTGAATCGCCATACGCTAGTTCTTCTTTTAAAGTGTTCTTATCGTAGATTGCCAATTTCGACATGGGAAGGAATGTAATGAGATCTTTGGATACGGTCTCATACGCGAAATTGACACACAAGGCAGAATAAATTCTCCACTTTTCCACTAATTCCATTATAGAACTTTCGCGCGAACTGGTGCGGAGTTCTACGTCGTCTTCGTGTTGAGGCGGAGGTAGTACGATGCCGTCAAGGACTGCAGAAATCCGCTCCAGATCGTGGACAGTCGCTTCCGTCCTGCCGCGCAAAACATCAATGCTCTCGATTGCTTCTTTTGCGTTAGCTGATTAGGAAACAATAACAGCATTAATTCCGAGCCGCAGCGTACCATCTCCACAAACAGAAGGGATAATCGTTCCAACACACAGGCCGTAGCGGCATTCAGGGCACTCTGGGAAAACAGACTCCAAGCGGTGGCAGCATGCGTAAAACGCTTGATTATATTATGTGATTTCGGAGCCGATGTTAGCGAGAAATCGTTCTTCATCAGAGTCAACATATTATGGGTGCGATCCAACAACAAGCACACCTTCTCAGTGAACGCCGATCCACTGACGGTATCAGCTCTTAATAGATCAATAGACTGGTTCATCTCCAACAGCCAATTACGCAACGAAGCACTGCCATGCATTCGATCAACAAAATGCAGCTTGATGTCACTATACATCTGCCACAAGCGAAACAACTCTGCATATGGCTTGCTTTGAGAAAAAACAGAAAGGTCACGCCGATAATCTACTGTGCTGGCATTGTCCAACTGCTTTGCCAGTAGATCAGTGAATAACTGTAACGATTCTTCGAACTCTGTCCCGGTTAATGCAGCGTCTGGTTCCAGTAGCGGTGACGCTGGATTAGAGTAATACAACGGGGATTCAGTGGGACTGGCAACAAAAGCACCAAAATCCCTATCAATGGGTGACGTCTTTCTGTAGTTCGGATCGAGGTGCGTGAAAAGGACGTCCTGCCTTACGGACTTCCGTAACTGGCTATGCGGACTATTAGACGCTATGGAATCATCCCGTTTCTGGTACCTAATGTACAGCACCAAGGTTCTTTGAACAACTGACTCGAAGAGGAATTCCAATCGCTGTACGTAAATCAAGTGATTGGCTTCTGTTTCCTGTGAAAAGTAGCCGGCAATTTCATTTAGGATCTGCTGCCAGGCAGAGAAGCTTTCCATAATTCCTGTGTGTCTAAAATTTCGAAACAACGTATGATGGAGTTTCTTGTCGATATCAGTCCGAAGGATCTGCACGAGGTGCACCGTACCAGTCTCTTGTTCTAGGAGTCTGGCTTCAAGAGCTTTCAGTGTTCCGAGAAATTCTTTCTCTACTGTTTGGATCTGGGCCAGTTCGTTGTCATCCAGGACTTGTAAGTCCTTATATCGCCGCTTTGCTGCGATGTACCACATTTGGTGCAGGACATGCATTTCCGTTAGCTTGACCAGGCGCTGATCTTTGATACCTTTGCCACAAACATTATATGCTAAATCCTGCCAATCTTCCCGAGCCAGCACCAATTCTTGCATGTTCTGCTCAGATCGGGCGCGGTAAGCAGCATGGAGTGTGATCAGGCTTTTCAGATGATAGCTTTCGCTGTGCAAAGCAGTTAAAGTGGTATTTAGCCCTTTGATATCCTTTTCCACATTGAGATGCATACTCTCGCTCTGCTGGTGGCTCTCTTCCAGTGGAAGCGACCTTTGTCGCCACCACATCTGATAGTCTAATAACACCGTGGCCAGTTCTTTATCCAGATTTCTTTGTGCTTCCAGCTCATTTGCAATGCGTTCCAGGGGTGGAGAAACTTGGCCGACCAGTGAGTTGTATTTTTTCCGAATAGAGTCTAAAAGGTCACCGCGAGCTTCACACTCACCAGCTGCCTGCCGAGTCACATCGTAAAACACCGAATTCGATATGACTTTTTCAGTCTGCACTTCGTGGATCAAACGATCCACATCCTCGGGATCAGCAACCTTCCCAACACGTTGCTCGAATACCCATTGGTTCTGGATACGTCGCAGATCATTCCGCAGGTTCTCCAGATGACTGCGCGAATTAGACGGGAGCTGGGAACTGGCATCTCCAAGAACGGACAAGTCAGGTAAATCTGCGCTTTCGACATGATCAGCGGCTATGACACTGGATAACCGATTAATGCGCTTCTCCTTAGCAGACTGACACAGGGCGACGTTAGAGAAGGCATCGTGACGGTAGGACACATCCTCTGGTCCAGCACCGCACTGACAGATAGGTTCAGGATCTTTCACATAATATTTTTGGAGTTCGGCTTCGTTAAGTAAACTCGCTCGTCCCTGACCACTTTTCTACTAAATATGGTACCATGGATTTCTTTAACAATAATGCTGTAGAGCAAATATATAAAATTTACATCGCTTTCTCGTTCATAAACGGCCTTTGGCGCCACTGTGTCGAATGGAACTTGAGCGAGTGATGGTGTATATCCATCCGCATCAGAACGAACCGTTTTCCGGTCGTCAGCCTTGGGTTGTGAGTCGAATAGAACGGACTCTATATTTTGCATGCTTGTACGCCTCATACTCTTGCGCTTTCGGTATAGGTTAGACGTGTCACTGGTTCGTTGAGACATCCCGACACGGGGCGCGAGATCGATTTAACCTTGGTAATAGTTACATCTTACGACAGCACTTAATCGAAATGAAAAGCTTTCGCACCAAAGTGTGGAGACTGCGAGTGTCGAGTCTGGAGGTCCAGATGCAAAACAATATTCTTTTGCAGCAGCGTGACATAAATGCAGGAGCAGTCAGCAATTCTTTGTCAAATTGGGAGATCTAATAAGGAAGCATCAACTAGTCAGAAGCATAACACATAAGCCTGTTTCTAATCACAGCTATAATTTCAAATGAACTTGGTTCACAACAAGTCACACGCAGTAGCGTTTTAAAGAAGATATTTCCGCATGGGAATTAAAGTTATCCAGTTCAAGCGTACAGGTAGAAAATGGACCACATGTTATGATTAAACGTTTAACTGCACTGTGCCTGCACCACGGTACAACCATTATCCTTTTCTATGCCTGCACTGTTTTATAAATTACTGGTACATACATACATACTGCAGTACATACATATCTATGCTTTCACTGTTCGGTTTTCTTGTTTGAATTTCTTGTTCCTCTAACCTGCGCGGTTCCCTCCTGGTAGTTTGCCATGATTTCCTACCATGTCTGCGGGAATTTTGCTGCCCGATTTCAGCGTTTTCTTTTATTGTTTAGTCAAGAGCACCGCGTTTGATTATTATCCACTCATCATGTCTACTGCAGTCGTACGCAGGTTATGGATGTTCCCTAATAACATTGCAAGGCAACTTATTCCATTTCCTAAGTGCGAATAAAATAATTGCCCTAAATTAATGCGATACTGCGCATGATAAAATATCAGTATTCATTGTGGATAATAAGATGAGCAGACTGAATGAGCCATTCATCCAAAAACGGATCAATCTGAAACCAGCATTCAATACGCCCAGCCGAAATTTGCGATGCGCTTTTAATGGTCAGGGTTGAATAACACGAGCATGTTCCGTTTTCGGATAAATTCCCATTAACTTTGTAACCACTGTCCAGTGTTTCAGCGTCAATTTCAAGGACGCTAAGTGGATGTGTGTTGGGGGCATAGAGGATGCCCTTCTCATGGTACCAGATGAACCGATTGCTATAATCTTTGTGTGTTCCTTTAAACAGTTCGAACTGTGTGTAACAGCGAAACTCGGCTGCTTGACCTTTGAGTACGGTGACATTTTGCATTGCAGGAACAAAAACATCCTTCGGCTGATAAAGAGGGCTCATCAGAATTCGTGTAGTGATAGACGAAACGTTGTTAGGGGTCCTTTCCGTGCAAGTGTATTTACCGGCGAAGAACTGAGTAGCTTCTGCTATATGTAATGTTGACACCAACCGGATCGGTTGCGACGCGGACTTCAGTGTCTCGGTGTTGATTTTCCAGTAATAGGGTCCGAGGTCGACAGCACGTTTGCAACGACAGCCATAGCAGTCTGTTAAACCGCAGACAGGAGAAACTACTTCATTAAGGTTTCCCAAGACAGAATGATCCCATCTCGGATATTTTTCGGTACTATTTTTCTCACTCGGATAATGCGATATACATGATAACGTAACCGCGGAGCCGAATTCTGGGCGCATAATTGCAGTCTTTGCCGTCTGAATAGGTTGCTCGAACGAAGGTAAAAGTCCCAGATTGATTATTCCATTCTTGCTGTTCTCTTGGGCGTGCACAAGCTTGCCGGACACTGCAAGAAACGCAAACCTTCATTGCCAAGTTACATTCAACGTGGCTAACGTTGTGATGCATTAGAAAATCATGACAGTCATAATAAATCCAATACCACACAATGCACAACTACTCCACTTATTTAGGAAGATCATTTATTTAATCTAAAGTGCAAAAGCTAAAACATCGTTTGCTTGATAATTATCATAACAATATTTATAATCATTGTGATACTTTGGATGATTGTCTGATGCCTCACCTGTCTTGTAATGTATCCATGCTTGTTTGTTTATTGTACAAGCAAAACTGCAACAAATAAAAGTTTGCCCTATAAAGAAGCCGGTGGTCATGATTACTAACATTACACGATGCTACCTGAAACCTGTGTTATGCACCTGCTTGTTTCCCAGCACCGCAAAACATTTTAACCGCAAAACGTTTTTAACCGCGTTATTATGCATCGTTCCTAATGCAACCGTATTTTTTATTTTCTTGGAATTTTGAATGTCCTTCAGATACCCAGCGACGCAGTAATTAATAATGTATTCGGCTGGGCATGAAATTGTTTCACTCTTGGACGTCGTCACTAATCCGATCGTGAAGCTGCTGGAAGTGATGCAGCAACCGTTGGAAAAGTGTTCACGGGAGTAGATTTGACCGCTTGATGCAAAACTATTGACCGCCGCAGCGCAGCGAAGGTCCTCCCTCTTATTCAGGCAAAATGAAAAGCGTCTGTCTGTACAGACTGTATAACCATAATAACCATAATATTATGGTTAGATTTTCTGGTTCTCTTGGGCTTTGTTGATTGCTTAAATGTCTTAGAATCACTTACAGAGAACTCTTTGAGCTTTCTTAGTATTTTTCTAAAGTTTTTGTTGTTTTCCTAAAATTGCTTAGGTTTCTTGGTGCTTATCGTAAGTTTTCTTAGATTGCTTATATTATACGTTTTCTTGTGTTTTATTTCATCAGAATGTCGTCAGCGAAATGTCGGTGTTCGGCAGATAGGCTTTCAGCCATCAACAAATCCTGCTTGTTGCTTTGATAAACTGTCGGGTAAACATTTTGTCGGTCAGCAAAAAGTCGTCGGCTACTTGTCAGTCGGCAGTGTAGCGGTCAGTAAATTTTTGGTGTGCCCTAATGACAGCTGCGTATCCGACCGACAAGGGTTACCCTTCTCAGGAATAACCGGAAAGGCAGCCTTGTGAGGGATATTACCGCCTCATACTGGAACCTATCCGAACACTCTGGAAACGACGAAGCCAATACCAGACAACTATATCAAAACCAACGGAATTATTTTTCTTACTACCCTGATTATTAAATCTCTTCGATTCATACAATTTACCGCCTGTCATTAGATTTCCAAAGCGTACTTCCCGTAATTTGTATTTACTTAATGCTTTTATGCTTACATATATTATCCGAAAAATTTCCAGTGCAGTTAATTCACACAAAACATTAAACATGACTGCTCGAACAGTCCATAAATTCAAAGCTGAAGTTTCCCATACAAACGTGCCGAGCGCGAACGCGCGAAGCTTACTTACCGTGATTTTTATTAGCTCAAGCCAGTCAAGACAGTTATTAGTGTACGTAGTTAAAAGAAACCGCATTCCAAGTTAGGAGTTACTTTCCTTCTATGTTTTCACGGGAACAACGACGACCCGCGGAACGGATAAACAGCAGTGCGCGGCAATATTATAGTGCAGTAGGCTAAGTTATGAAAGCACTCCCAGATTGTTACTCCATTAAGATATTTACAGATCTCGTTCGGCTGTCCCACAATAAACAGCGAACTCATCGGGAACTTTCGTCGTACATGTTAAAGCGCCCCGCGCTATGAGGTCTAAAGGGCCCCGCTCTATGAGGTATAGAGGAATTCAGATACCTCTGCTGATCTCTACTAGTGCGTGTGACTCACACGGTGTGAGTAAGGACTGTATATACACATACAGTAAACAATCCATCTGATAGGTTGCAAAATGCAATTCTCCCAACTTCCAGCACGGCATCGTAAGTCAAGTAATTTCAGAAAATTAATATATTTAGCTAAATATTTTTAAGTGTCTTGCAACAGGAAATTAATTGTTGGTATTAATTCGACGCTTCCAAGCCCAATTGGGCCTGGAAGCGTCGAATTAATACCAACAATTAATTTAATAATTAATACCAACAAACAACGTCGAATTAACACCAACAACACTACGGTGCGATGGGAAAGCCACTAATGCAATTAGTGGCTTTCCCATCGCACCGTAGTGTTAATACCGCTTCCGGTACAGATACAATTGCGAAACAATTGTTATAGCAGTCGGTTGCACATAAATGGCATGTGCAGCATTGAAAAGAAACCTATCAAATGGCATTAAAATACTCGTAAATCAACAAAGCACGGTTCGGTGCAGGAATGCAATGAAAGATAGCATCCCCTTAATAAGAGATGTAAAGGGACAATTCGTTTAGCTGCTACTATCGAATTTCTGGAGAACGTTGCCGAACGCTATTATTAACATTTTTTGAAAGCTGTTTAGCACGAAGAACCTGTTTGATCAGGTTCACTTTTTAAAATGTGAAAGCCTAAAATACTGAGATTTATGGATCTAGGTAATTTAAAGTTTTCAGGTAACAATAAATTTCTTTTGGTTATGGTCGGTCGATTCACCCGTAGTCGTTGTTCGTTTCTCTCTTCGTACTGGGAACATTAGAGAAATGGCTTACACTTATAAAGACTTCAAAAGGACTTTATTGAAGGGTCAGCTGGTTTAGAATTCTTCACTGGAGAATTTTTATGGCGTTTTTTTGCTTGCCCGCTTCTTTCTCTAAACAGATACGTGTAATACAGTAGATTACAACTTCGGCAACTCCGGCCACCAGGCAGTTTTAATGACCACCAAGCAGTGCTCGTTTTTCGCTATTATATTGTACTGTAGTGCCGGTATTAATTTGATCTCAATGACATGAAAATGTACATGAAGAATCGTGGTGGCAAAATTCTCCTTTGCGCAACGCAATTTAAAAGCCGAACTAAAGTGTTCCTAAGATTATATTGTAGGTATCACTACAGAGAACATTAAGAACCGTATTTTTTGTTCGGGAGTTGAAAATGAAGCTGCTTTCTAATTAGCAAACACCGAAAAATCCGGTAATTCTGATTGAACACAAATTTACACAATGCGGTATTCAATCCAAAAAAAGTCCCTGTACTGCCAGTTGCTAATGCTGTTTGTTTGTTTGCTGGGTGTGAACTGTTCAAGGAGATTATTTCGGCCCTTTGTTTGCGTGCACCTCTTGGTTGTTGCAACAGCAACATATCGCTTCAATAAAATTTAGATATTGATGCGTCTAGATAAAATTGCATTCGCGATAACGATTCGCATCTATCGGTATTATAGATGTGTTCACAACTTCACATACGTACAATGTACACACGAAGAATATACCGTCAGTTATCGATGTACCGACTTGCCGTTACAGCCAATCGACGTAACAGCCAATCGATAGCCGTGCTCGTGGTTGGCGCGCTGTCAACCACCAAGAGACGACAGCACCAGTTGCAAAATCTGTACGTAAATATTTAACGAACATTTTTAAGCTCGAATTAACTGAAAGTTTTGGTGCGTTACGTTGACTGCAGAAATAAAGTATAGTTTTAATGCGTTTAATCATCGCTGTCGATTTTTGGTATCTGGCCATGTCACACAAACACGCGCATGACTATCGATTTATGGTAACGGTAACTCGGTCTTACAGTACTTACTTCTATAAATAAAGGTATAGCTTCCTAGTATGCAAGTAAGATAACAGTTACAGTGAAAACTGTTTACTAAATACACCTTCGGTTAAAGCAAAACCGTATGTATTATCCAGGTGTATGTATTACACAGGGTTATAATTATTACAGTCTATGGGACGCGCCGGTTAAACTTTCCGCGTATGTAATTTCCAGGTGCATGTATTTACCGGTGTATGTAAAAGACAGGTTTAACTGTATAAGACTTATAACACGTAAGTACAATATTTCCTTATGTATATGATATGTACGTGCTGTATTAAAGTGGATTATTAAGTAAGTACGCAGACTGCCTTTGGTACGGACTACGGATGAGGGTGGCGGCTCTTATTATATCGCTCGACGGTAATCGGTATAGCCAATACACAACATTTAGCTAGTACTTACACATATTATGGCAATCTCTGCAGAGATTTGGCATTTATCTCCATCCTTGATTCCAGATTTGACTTTTTGATTAAAACTATGGACAAAATCACAATTATTTTTTTAGTTTTCATATTAGTAAGATGTGGAATATCAACTGATAGCGTTGAGAATGAAGCGGCCATTAAAAACATTTCAAACTGTTCATATGGTGCCGAAAACAACGACTGGCGTAATAAGGTCAACAGTAACAGTGCTAGTAACTGTTCTGATCGTTATTATACGCCGTTCATGATTGTCTCCTGCATCTTTGTACCCATACTGTTAATCATTATAATATGCCAGTACCTGTGGAACAGAAAGCGTAAGTAAAAGTAAAGCATTTTTATCAGCATACAGTATTAAAAAAAATTGTTATAGCATATTAACATGTTTTCCAACTCTTCATCAGTTTTCCTCAAAAGGTAATTCTTGAATATCGTTAATTTATTATTTTTCATTGTTGTGGAGTTGCATTCTTGGATTTGTCTCTTCATCTGATCTATTATATAATAAATCTGTATTATTTATATTCAGGCGTCGCTGCTTTGGAAGAACGAGCGGCACCAAAAAGACAATCGCCTGCTCTCCAGAAATACTTCTCCACATGCCCAAGAAGCGAAGACGAGACAACGCTGTAGCGTAGGACCGGAAACCATGTCAGCTGATTTTATTATACGCATATACCTTAGAACCCGATATTAACGCCCCCCGAAATTAACGCCCCTTGCGGTTTTAAACGCCCCCTCCCAAAGCTCTCGAAATAATAGAAGCCCCCCGAAATTATTGCCCCGGGGCGCCTAATAAGTTGCTGCGCCGTGTTTTTTAGAGCGTTGTTGTTACAGTCTGAATGGTACATCTTGTTAAATTAGGTAAATTCCATTTAAACACGCCATTGTGAAACTGTAATCTTTCCGAAAAGCTTACTCTGTGTAATCTGATTTACAGCAAGTGTAATAATTTTGGTGTGTGATTATGCCTGGTTTTTTCTGATGTTTTACCAATCGCAAAACTTTATGTAAGAAATAATAAGAATAATAACAATGATGAAGTGGTTTAACCATGAGTGTGTCCATATACGTATTAACAAGAAAAGTTAAACGACAACACAAAATGCTACTGTATGGAAAAATACCAAATACCAAAATAACTAATAACACAAGGAAAAGGCACGGCAAATTACGCCGTCAATTGGGGTATCACGGAACCAGCGTCTTCAGCAGGATGCAGGTGTCGTGATTACTCGTCACCTCGTGATTAATCGTCGTCACGTACAGCTTGCTTTTTTTGTATTTGCAAGGAAATCTACGTAATTAAAACTGCCAATATGCCCGCGAAAATTGCCTGGTAAACACAAAAAAAGCAAGCTGTACGTGACGGGTAATTGTGATCCTGTTATTAGCTGTGATAATTACTTCCATAGAAATTTCCACGTTTCTACGGATGTCAAATCACGTCTTACGTTTATACATATTCCTTTCGGAGCCACTTTCGGAGCACAAATTGGCTACAGGACACAGACTCTACTCTAGAAAACTAATGCTATTAGCCGCAAGCGCTCAGCCAATCAGTTGTGCATTCTGTAGATGAGTACAACTCTCGCACGCAAATTGCACGTACAAGTCAACTTATTATTATAGTGCAATTGGCTTACCATTAGCAGACGTCCTAATATCGCACTGTTTAGGACTTATATATTTGTACTTACATGCATGACCATAGCGCGTCGCACTGGTCGTCGCACCTACATACCAGCCTCTGAAAAAAAATGGACCAGTGATGAACCTAATGCTGATAATCGTTCGCGTACTCCTTATCATAATCAAAACTCCATACTCATACTGACTTTCATAGACATACTCCGGTCGTACCAGTGTTTATATTTCCATAGATGGACGGCGGCTGTACATACTCACATCCCATGTAACTCGTGGTGTCCGCTTGTTGGTCACCGCCACCAAATGCACAACGAAGCTTAACGGAACCCAGGATAAGAGAACGCATAAAAACACAGAAAATCAATGTCGCCCAAGTTGCTCAACGTAACCCAAAGAAACTTAGCGGAAAGTTACGTTTGTAACTTGCAGGATTCGGCACATCTCAATGAACTTCATATAGCTTATTGTGTTTTCACGGAACTCAATACTCGCATATTTAATTTTGCGAAAAAAATTGAAAATGAAATTAAGAAAACTAATAAGAACACTTAAATCTAGAAATTAAAAATTCTAAGCGTTAAATTGAGACACACCAGTAATGAAATTGTGCGCAATGGTAAGAAATTCTGCGGATACGCAATGATAAGAAATTCTGAAAATTTTTCCCAATTAGGACAAGAAACCGGTGGCGCGAGAATACACTTGCTTGTTACGTTAAAGTGTGTAGGATGAGTTTCATTCAGCTGCACCGAGTTAGGGTACCGAAAATGTGCGAGCAATGCATAAATGACAATTCGTTACGTGTAAGTTATAGTGGACGCCTCAGATGTAGTTACACAGATAGGTAGCTGTGTGCTTACATAGCGCTATCGGCTATCGGTGTAACCACATTTATGACGTCCACTGTCCAGAGCTGCCAGGCAGCTCTGGACTACGGTTTTTATGTTACGGTGAGTTTCGTTGGATGTATGTGCTCTGGCAGCCTCCAGATTTTTCTACCTAAACATTTTGTGCCACATGTAGAGATGAAAACAGGGAGAAAAAGTAGTACGATTAGACATTTGCTAAGATATGGTCCTGCTACGCTTCGGTCTTGCAGTACCCGCAAAAAGCGAGTGCACTTTCCTGATTAGAAGTCTTTTAAAGCATTTCTAAAGCTGGCACCGCAATATCTCTATAGTGTAGCATTTCTACGTTTTACATAATTTACACGAATTTTTCCACATTTCTGTTTTCTCAATCATAACTTCATACCTAGCTCAAATACAACTGGTCGCGCGCTAGCGCGACCAGTTGTATTTGAGACCAGTTGTATTAACGTAAGTACAATTAATAAAATTAACGTCGTAATTATCGTAAGTACAATTATTAAATGTATCTGTACATGTGTACATCTTGCAGGCACACGTGCATATATGTCTGACCGAATAATACCCGGCTTGCCATAAGCCTAATGTCGGCTTGCCATAAGCCTGATGCCGGCTTGCCATAATGCAACACTCGACCGCCCTGGGCGGTGACTTCCTACCGTTGCAGCGGGCGGATGCTGCTTTCACTCAATTACTTGCCAGCCAGAATGGCGTCACTAATTTTGTCGAAGCATGGTCAACTATGAGGATACACATTTTGATCAACCCCCACGTGACGGTCAGTCCGAGAGACCGTGTCGTCGACACTCCGTGATCACGGGAATTGCGTCAACACCGTCTCCTTAGGAAACTTTTTTTCCGTCTTTTGGAAAATGGTTGACTATGGGGCCGGCCGCAGTAAAATGCACTTACATAATATAATATTTCGGCGCCTCCATCGATACTTCGAGATTTCTGAACAATGGTCACTTTTTCACATACATTTTAAACATTTGGTCATTGGCAGACAATTGACAGAGATTACGGCTAAATGTTTAATCTAAAATTGTAAAAATCCATGGGCTTATCTGATAATGTATGATATATATCCGTTGTTGTGTAGAATCTGCACCCAGCGTGCCTGTGGACGAACCACGACGAGGCCCAGCTCTTCGGAGATTACTATCAAACAATCCCAGAGAAGTGGAAACAGCATTTCACCGATGATAGCCTGTACCAGGTAGTTTTAATAACCCTCGATTCCACATGTTTTCTGTTCTCCGATTTGATTAACATTGCGAAACTAGCCAGTTGATTTGCATTTATTTACCCAGTATTTAGCTATTTATTTGTTTGAACCGGGCGCAATTTTTTATTTATTCATGTTCTGAATGCCGTGAACTTCTCGCGGTACAATAAATTTATAATGAGGGGATGTATCGGGAAATTGCCTAAGATAGTATGTTTCCTGCTGTAGGCATCGAAGCACCCGGGCCGGACGCCTCGCTTGGTCACCGAATTCGGATCGAAAGATGATCGATCGATACGACAGGAAGCAGGCGCGATACAAGCGATGGAGAATTTATTGATGAGCGAATACAAAAAACAATCTAGCAGTCACAAAAGAAACATTAAGTTATAAATTTAACAGGCAGCGGAAACCGGCGGCCGAATTACACAGAACATTTCATCTAAATTAGCCGAGGCTGGTGCCGTTCCCAGGATGGATGCCGCGTTTCCACGTTGGATCTCGATGCTGAACCTCTGGCGCAGATATTCCGTTGCACGTATAAAAAAAACAATGGAGTATCTGCGTCAGCGTATCCGCATTAAAGTCTAACGCGGAAACGCGTCCTCTGTCATGCATGGGAACAGCACCAGCACCGGCTAATTTACATACAATGTTCTTAGTGATTAGGCCGCCTATTTCCGTTGCTGGTTGAGACAGTGTAGTTAGTGAAAGCTGCGTATTTTATCGATAACTTGTTGCTGTTTTGTACAAGTTGCAGATAGAAGCACTTAATAATTATGAATGTTCTTGAATTAAGTAAGATACAATTAATCAGATCTTCAGAATGACTAAATTTATGTAATCGAAGTCGACCAACAGGTTCCAACAGAACCGTAATTAAAACAAGAAAGCCGCGGAATATGTATCTGAAGTAGATATAATGGAAACCTTGAATAAATCACATGATGGCTCTTATTAATAAAACTGCACTGTGAACGGTAGCTTATCATTTTGGAACTATTATTAAAACAAAAGAAAACAAAAGAAAAAATCAGAAAACATAAAAAAAGGAAACACAAGAAAACATAAGAATACAAGAAGACATGGGAAATAAGAAAACATCAGCATAACATAAAATAAAATAGAAAACATAAGAAAACATCGATTAAGATTGAACGGACATTCTCTAAACGGCAACAATCAATACTAATGTAAAGTATCAAGTAATAAATAAGACAAAGAGAAGGTCTCGGGAAATTGCACCTAATCACACTAATTAGACCATCACAGGATGTCGTAGTGTGAATGACGAAACTTACGTCTTGAACAGGATGACAAACGATTATTTGTCACGTACTTCCCGCTTTTTTGGTGTTTACAAGGTAATCTCCGTAATTAAATTTGCCGATGGCCTTGCGCAAATTATCTGGTAAACATCAAAAAAGAAGGCTGTGCGTGACGGATAATTGTGTATCCTGTCAGTGTTGAATAATTACTTCCAGGGAAATTTTTCAATTTTCTATGGATCACGTCACGTCTCAGGATCGTGGAACCCAGTGAATACTGCATACAACGTAGAGCAAAAAGTCATAATAAATATCCGATTTTACCATTAATATGCGGTTAATTACTGCTATTGTATATACATGTACAGGATACTATCCAGTGTGTACCCGACCGCTTGCCACAACAGGCACAACTTATACGTAGCGGAAGATACAGTCGTTCCGCAGATAGGGAAACAAGAATGCGCAGTAATGGTATACCGAACAGGAAGACTCAATAGCGCCGCATATCTGCGGATAGATAAATTTTTCTCAACTTTTCATATGTAGCCCACAAACCTTTTGAACCGGAAGCTTCTGGCTTAATTACTAACCTGGGAAAGAAGGCGCGCTGGTAAGATATGCGGCGACGTACGAGCGGCTGATTGTGAGTACAGTACTTGCACCAGCGAATCTGCAGCGGTAGTGAGATCTTCGAGGTCGACCTGCAAATAATCCTTTCTTTAAAAAATTTTGTACTTAAATTCACTTTACTAGAAATTTTAAAATTTACTTAACTAAAAGCTGTAAATCTAAGGACAGTACCTCCGTGCTCTTGACATTTTTCTTTACAAGTTCATGAAGCAATTCGTTCTGCGATTCCAGGTCCCGGAAGTTGGCAGTACCGATAATTATACTGACCGATTTGTCATCATTGTAAATCACAGGCTGATTGTTGTCATTCGGTCGTTGATTTTTCTTGCGCGGTGGTTTCTGCGGCTGCAGTGGGCTGAACAGTGAGATCCGTCCTGCAGGCGAGCGGTCACGTGTCATGGTGCGGATCAAGCTCGGCATCCAGCGTGTTTCTCCCCAAATACTCTCCAGCCGTTCTTGTAGTAACTGCACTTTATGAAGCAGTGCACCTGTTTCCTCTTCTTCATTGGTTTCCAGTTCCTGATGGCAATACGTCCGGTGTTAATCGATTTCATATCAGAATGATGTCCCTGATTTCGTCACTTACCTGGCGCAGTAATTGCTGTAGATGAACAACCAAACCTTCGAGAATAACAGAAGACTGCGCATACGTTGACCAGGCCAGCGTTCGATAGCGAAAATGAAACCCTAACAGGAATGTACTGATAATTAAATTATAAACCTTTGGTATGACTGCAGTATGGTATACCGGCTTCAAATATTTGAACAGGGACAAGACTACAGTTTTTCCGTAATTCTTCATCCAGTGACTGATGAGACGACAAGCCTCGTTTCTCCCCATAAACAACTAGTATCGAGGTTTCCGGTCCGAGTTCGATCACTTCCGGAAAGAGAAACAACTCCTCTACACTGCGTAATGATAAGCTGGACTTCAGTGCCTGCCAACTGTCTTGAAGTAGGCTCTCCAAGTAACGCACACGTTTCGGCGCACCGGTTACCTTCCGGGTTATGAAATACCACTCATCACTAAAATTGATCCTCGGGAATTTATAGTATAACATCAAAACCTATCTATAGAGAGCGAAAAATGTTTGCGTATAATACCTAGAAATGTAAGCGTTGGAACGTATCTTTGCTGAAGGAAGGATATTTGGCCACTGTTTCGCGGTGACTACTGCAATACTGTCTAAGTTAAGGCTCAATTCGGCGTATGCCATATGCAGTCCAGGAGGAAGGGCTTTGTGCATATCATGATACCAGGAATATATTTCCTGTAAGCACGAAATGAACATCATAAAGAATACGTACATTCACAGACATCGGCAATTGAATTACAGCAGCTTTACCGCAGTGCTTGCCGTGGAAATAGCTGACATGATCGGATGGGAGTGGCCAATGGCCATTATGTCGGCCTCCTTCAGTGATTTCCATTGAAACCCCGACAATTTGCCAACATCCGATTTGTTGACCTTTTGTATTAACAACAAAATGCAGGAGGTAAACTGCTTATCCCTTAACGGTCGGTAATAGGCTATTCCTAGATTCGGCATCGTCAGCAGGTTCTAAAAATGTACACAGAGTTACTTCCCTAAAAATTCTACACAACCAGGAAACAAGATATGTTGCCTTCCAGTAAGAGGAGAATACCTGTAGATTAGAAACAGCTCGGACAATGCGGTACCGTAAATCAGACGATGAATCCTTGGAGGAGTGCAGAAGCTCCTTTATTTCGGCGACAGCATCCCAGCAAGTTGTTAACTACGAAACGTATGGAATACTAAAGCGATTTCTAGCGAATTATTGTAATCTGGCTGCTACCTTTTGAAACCACAAGTAATCCTTTGAGCTAATGGAGCCAATAAATGGAGAATGCACGACCACCGACGGTAGTGTGTACTCATTGGTCAAAAGTATCGAATCGTCCGCAATCACCATACACTAAAAATAAATCTGAGATGACATTTTTTTCTTGTTATTCCGAAATTCCCACCCAGTTTACCGACAGAAACATCCCGCCTTCGTCTTCCGCATTAGCCGGCCGAATATGAGGTCGAATGAGATCGCGAATACTATCTTTTAAGCTAGCCCTGCGCTGCACGGCTCGGTGTAAATGTTGACGTTTCTCCGGTGTCCGAGTGTGTCGGCGCTCCGGATCGTTCAGCATATACTTTGTAATCGTTCTGATATTCTGCAAAATCTTCTCCAAGTTGTGAACAGTGGTAGTGTCCAGTCGTGTCCTTTGTCCATCTACATCCCTCCAGGCTGAATCAACAAGCGCAGCATGAAACCGCTGTACAAGAGATTTGTTTTAATGTTAAAACGAAGCGTACATGTTATGACCACAGAAGATGGCGTTGCGTTTAGTGGAATTCCAAAACCTGATAAATTAGCAACGGATAGCCGGATGTGATACTCGATGCCGCAGTCCAGCTCCGATATTATCAGACGTTCAGGATTCATTAAGTTAGAAAAAATTTGGTAATCCACAATCCCTTTGAACGACTTGTCGCGGGACCACTCCACTGCAAATAAAATTTAACATGCTTAGACCAACCCTTAAATCTGGATATAACTCCAGGGGGAATCGATCGTGGCTCATATGTGGAGACTGCTCGGTGGAGACTGCTCGGAAACCGAGCAGTCTCCACAAGGTTCAACAATAACCGGTAAATTTGAGTAATATTTATTTTCACTGGTTATTAATTACTTAGCAGAGATAGTGTAAACTATAATTATATATCCGTCAGTTTTCAACCGAACTTTTTCACATAGGTTAGTGTATCTGGACAATACAGAAGTTGATACCGATGCTTATCAATTAATTAGACCAACCCTTAAATCTGGATATAATTCCAGGGGGAATCGATCGTGGCTCATATGAAACAGCAACCGAGCAGTCTCCACAAGGTTCAACAATAACCCGGTCCAGATAATTCCTTGGGGGTCCTGTTTAAATAAAAATAAAACCAATGTCCAAAATCCAAATGAAATGCGCTTAAATTCATTAAGGTATGCTGCAATGAGTTTAATTTTGCACTTACTAGTTCGCTCTACATTTTGCATCATCTTCTGCAACACGGCCATGGTTGGCCCGACGGCCACATCGGCGACCAGCTGTCTGGTGTCGGCACTATGCTCACGAATTCGAGAGGGCACTTGAATGGCCTCAAGACGGCGAAGTGCTTTGCGCAGAACTTCTTGTCGACGCTGTTTGGACTCACACAGCCACTCCGTCTCCTTACCGCCGTTCTTGAATAAATCCGCGGCGATTTCCGCATGTCCGAGCATAACCGCTTCGTCCACTAAATTCCATCCCCATTCATTAGGGGCGTTAATGTCGTATCCATTTTCCATCAGTTTTTTCATGATGTCAACAAATATTTCTGTCTAAAATTAGCCGACATGTGTTGCTCCATTTTGGCGCCCAAATGTATTATACTTCACCGGAAGTTGACTTATCGGCGTTTTGATTTACGTAGCACGCCAACTACGCCCAACATACCTCGTTTTTACGCGCGGCTGTCCATAACAACTGTTCAGCCAGCTGACGCTTTTTTACGCCGTTTCCACGTTCAAAAATGTTCGTCACAAAACCGTAAAAATTTTGGAGGAGACGCGTATTCAGAGATGGTGATCTCCAGCGTGATGTCCTGTCTCTGTTCATGTCCCGGTTAGCCACCAGCGATCGTCCGGTCCTGTACTGCTTTGGTGGTACTTGAATCACTGTTACACTTTCTTGTCTTCCATTGGCTTGAGGCAAACGGCGAAAATTTAGGCGTTGATCCGAGCTAAAAGTTGTAAAAATTAGATTGCATCCTCAGGCTGTTTTATTTATAGTTGCAAAGTTATGTGTGTATTATTATGTATATTGCAAAAACTGGCCTTAATGTTGTAACAGGCATCTGTCAGTTCTGGGTCATTCAAATGGCAATACAGTATTATCTGTAATTCTGATTCTGTATGCATAGGTAGCATGCAGTTTATTATGCTTTCTACACGTTTCCCTATTTACTAATGTTTGCAAAATCAAAATAAATATTTGAAACAAATTATTCGTAAATTAGCAATAATATGTCATGATTCAAAATAATTATCGAAGGCATAAATTTAAATTAAATATCGTTGGTTAAGCTGGAGCAACCGACACGCGACTTACTGGTAGCGGTCAACAGACCGCGATCGATCCACATTCTCTTGCATTATCCTGATGAAATTGGCTGTTTGGTCGGCTTATTCCGATGGAGTGCTCAAATAATAGTCGATTGCTGACTTTTTAGCGTAATGGAATAACATATTCCCGGCAAAGCAATAAAATTTTGCAGTTAAATTTCCATTGAACATATTTGCAACGAAAACAAGCAACTCCGTTCTATGATCATCAAAATGATGAAGTATCATACAACATGAGAAGCCAAAAGCTAAAACGTTAATGGGCGAAAATTCCCTCCGCACAGAACAAATGATTTGGTACAGTTATGTGAAAACAATTCAATGTGTGGTCATTAATATCCGCGTTATCCGGAGGGTAACGTTGGAAGAAAAACGCGAAAGACAGTGTTGCACGTCGGCGTGCAACTCAAGATCATCGGCGCGTCGGCTGATACGGCGGTATACACTACGGCAGATCAGAGTCAGTTTGAGCGCAAATAATCACGGCTTACCTGTTCGACAAGTCCACGTCACTGACCAAATAAATTTACACTCATTCACACCATTGGCAATCGAACTCTGTACTTGACTTAATACAGCGCACAAACGATCTCTAATGCTTTTATGACCACACAAAACGGCGCAAATATTTCCGTTTATCGGCAAATTAAATTGGCTATTTTTGCTTAGGTGTTCAAAACGAGCGGGAAAATCTCTGTTATCAAACATGTCTATCATGTTGATCAATTTACACGAAATCTGTTTAAATATTAGCGTATAAGACCTGATAATCCGCAAAGCCGATTAAAGAAAGAATACTTTGTTGTTTGTGAGAATCACTTGACAAAGTCGGTTATGTAAGTCTATTAACGTCAAATTTCCATCGTTAAAAGCTAATATTTAGGTTGACTTCGTGGCGGAGGAAGTAAAAATTTGTAAATAATCACAACGGTTAGGTTTTTGATTAACAAGAAAGTGCGTTTTAATTTTACCGTGTAATTATGTGACACCACTTTCTACGTCTTATAAGACGCCGGCTATTCCAGATCCGGGCCATACACTAAAAATTCTTCGCAAGATACATTAAAAATGGCTGTGCGTATTTTAATTTTTTCCACACATCTTGTTCATATATTTGGGAATGCAAATAGTTTGTTATCTTTGCAGCGAAAACCACATATAATATCGCGGAGTGTGTACAGTACAGTACAGTATGCGGATGCAACGCCTGTATTCTACGCACTGCATAACTTCCCCGTTCCCAGTAATAACATCCTCCGTGCTTTGTTATCATTCGGCACACTTTTGCCAGCCAAACAGTAACACGTATTTTGCAAACACTTCAAAGCGCACCGGCATCGGAGGCGGTCATTTTGATACGATACATCAAGCAGCTACAGCGCACAATGTATGTAATTTGCGCATATTGAACCAAATCTGCTTGATGTTGCGTGGTAAGATATGTTTCCGGATACCAGTACTTGTACAGTAAACCAGTTACTTGAAGTCATTTCCAACTTACCAGTAGTTGACCGTGACGAGGAGCGGTAAGTTATAACGGTACATGCGTATAATTGCCGCTGGTGTACGGCTTTTAATGCGCTGTTTATGGTGATTGTTTGCAATCGATCAAGCGTGATCAGTTGTGAATTATAGCGGCGGCATCCGAAGGCGATGATACATCATACATATGTGTACATGGTGCAAAATTAACCACTGACCATCGTGGTTAAATCTTTTGTATGGAGACTGCGAACCGCATACTATGCCATCTACGCTTTGAATATTATTAACCTTCAAAAGAATTGTAATTCGTAGTAATAACTGTACTTACGCGCGAAAATTTTTGATTGATGTCACTTCCAGCAAGTAATAAAACCATTGTTCGCACTTTATTTGGCGCTCTTGACTGCCATTTAACAAAATTTGATGGTATTATTTCGACGATGCTTCATGTCTGTAATAAATTTTGCGTGTTCAGGAAAAAATGAAAGGTTCGCTACTCTGGTTGGCGCGCGTCGAGGTCCGATAAAGCAAATTCTGGGACTTCTCGATAGTGCCTTTCGTTAAAATAATACCACACACCATTGCGTTTTCCAATAAAAACTTTAACGTTGCTAAATTTAAAAGAATTTCGATCACAAAATTAACAAAAGAAAATTAATATAACAGAAAGCTGTACTGCATTTGATTAAAAACACGGACACTCCGGAAATTTGCATATTAATTCCACTTGCAGTTCCATGTAAATCTGAAATGCTTTGCCGCTATTCAAATCTTCTTGTGCTGCTATAAACACTGAAGGATATGTTACGAACACACAATTTTATAAGTACTGCAACACATAATCACGTTGTATTATCGTAGAAAACATAGCCGTTAAATGGCGCCCAGATTTCTATGATGTACACGCGATATTGTTACGGCGAAGTAAACAGAATAACGGTGTCCGAAATGTAGAACGTCTTGTCGATGATGTAATCCCAGGGTTGCATGGCGTTAAGCGGTTCGGCATCGTCCGTTACACACAGCAATGGCGGCAGCAGTTTTGCATGGTACATCTTCTCTTCCAAATCAACCAATGGCATTGCCGGAAGCGCGATCTCTGGTGGCGCTGTCTGTTGCTTTCTGGCTTGATAATACTGTACATCCAGATCCAGGTTTTGGTTCGAAAGGTTGATTTCGGCGAGCTCCCTTTCTAACTCCATCAGTTTTAGGGTCAGTTTAACCGTCCGAATCTTCTCGGCACTTAATTCCTGAGACAGCTTGCTGAATTCTTCCATTAATTCGGACGATAATGTTCGATCAGTGTTCACCGACGTCATCAGCCGAAACGGTTTAACGTAAACATTTTCGTCATCGCCTACGCAGGCGATCTCTACATGGTCATCTTTTATCCAATAATCTCGAATTACTCCGTGGAGACACGGTGGGATATCCAAGATGTTATCGAGCGCTTTGTCGTAATTGGCAGCTGAATCGCCATACGCTAGTTCTTCTTTTAAAGTGTTCTTATCGTAGATTGCCAATTTCGACATGGGAAGGAATGTAATGAGATCTTTGGATACGGTCTCATACGCGAAATTGACACACAAGGCAGAATAAATTCTCCACTTTTCCACTAATTCCATTATAGAACTTTCGCGCGAACTGGTGCGGAGTTCTACGTCGTCTTCGTGTTGAGGCGGAGGTAGTACGATGCCGTCAAGGACTGCAGAAATCCGCTCCAGATCGTGGACAGTCGCTTCCGTCCTGCCGCGCAAAACATCAATGCTCTCGATTGCTTCTTTTTGCGTTAGCTGATTAGGAAACAATAACAGCATTAATTCCGAGCCGCAGCGTACCATCTCCACAAACAGAAGGGATAATCGTTCCAACACACAGGCCGTAGCGGCATTCAGGGCACTCTGGGAAAACAGACTCCAAGCGGTGGCAGCATGCGTAAAACGCTTGATTATATTATGTGATTTCGGAGCCGATGTTAGCGAGAAATCGTTCTTCATCAGAGTCAACATATTATGGGTGCGATCCAACAACAAGCACACCTTCTCAGTGAACGCCGATCCACTGACGGTATCAGCTCTTAATAGATCAATAGACTGGTTCATCTCCAACAGCCAATTACGCAACGAAGCACTGCCATGCATTCGATCAACAAAATGCAGCTTGATGTCACTATACATCTGCCACAAGCGAAACAACTCTGCATATGGCTTGCTTTGAGAAAAAACAGAAAGGTCACGCCGATAATCTACTGTGCTGGCATTGTCCAACTGCTTTGCCAGTAGATCAGTGAATAACTGTAACGATTCTTCGAACTCTGTCCCGGTTAATGCAGCGTCTGGTTCCAGTAGCGGTGACGCTGGATTAGAGTAATACAACGGGGATTCAGTGGGACTGGCAACAAAAGCACCAAAATCCCTATCAATGGGTGACGTCTTTCTGTAGTTCGGATCAAGGTGCGTGAAAAGGACGTCTTGCCTTAAGGACTTCCGTAGTTGGCTATGCGGATTATCAGACGCTATGGAATCATCCCGTTTCTGGTACTTAATATACAGCACCAACGTCCTTTGAACAACTGACTCGAAGAGGAATTCTAATCGCTGTACGTAAATCAAGTGATCGGCTTCTTTTTCCTCTGAAAAGTAGCCGGCAATGTCGTTTAGGATCTGCTGCCAGGCAGAGAAGCTTTCCAAAACTTCTATATGTCTATAATTTCGAAACAGCGTATGATGGAGTTTCTTGTCGATATCAGTCCGAAGAATCTGCACGAGCTGCACCGTACCAGTCTCTTGTTCTATGAGTCTGGCTTCCAGAGCTTTCAGTGTTCCGAGAAATTCTTTCTCTACTGTTTGGATCTGGGCTAGTTCGTTGTCATCCAGGACTTGTAAGTCCTTATATCGCCGCTTTGCTGCGATGTACCACATTTGGTGCAGGACATGCATTTCCGTTAGTTTGACCAGGCGCTGATCTTTGATACCTTTGCCACAAACATTATATGCTGAATCCTGCCATTCTTCCCGAGCCAGCACCAATTCCTGCATGTTCTGCCCAGATCGGGCGCGGTAAGCAGCATGGAGTGTGATCAGGCTTTTCAGTTGATAGCTTTCGCTGTGCAAAGTAGTTAAAGTGGTGTTTAGCCCTTCGATATCTTTTTCCAAATTGTGATGCATACTTTCACTCTGCTGGTGGCTCTTCTCCAATGGAAGCGACCTTTGTCGCCACCACATCTGATAGTCCAACAACACCGTTGCCAGTTCTTTATCGAGGTTTCGTTGTTCGGTCAGATCGTTTGCAATGCGTTCCAATGGTGGAGGAATTTGGCTGACCAGTGAGTTGTATTTTTTTCGAATAGAGTCCAAAAGGTCACCGCGAGCTTCACACTCGCCAGCTGCCTGCCGAGCCACATCGTGAAACACCGAATTGGATATAACTTTTTCATTCTGCACTTCGTGGATCAAACGCTCCACATCCTCGGGATCAGCAACTTTCCCAACACGTTGCTCGAATACCCATTGGTTTTGGATACGTCGCAGATCTTTCCGCAGATTCTCCAGATGACTGCGCGAATTAGGTGGGAGCTGGGAACTGACATCTCCAAGAACGGACAAGTCAGGCAAATCTGCATTTTCGGCACGATCAGCGGTTATGACACTGGATAACCGATTGGTGCGCTTCTCCTTGGCGGACTGACAGCGTGCGACGCTAGAGCAAGCATCGTGACGGTAAGACACATCCTCTGGCCCAGCGCCGCACTGGCAAATAGGTTCAGGATCTTTCACATAATATTTCTGGAGTTCCGCTTCGTTAAGTAAACTCGCTCGTCCCTGACCACTTTTCTACTAAATACGGAGCCATGGAATTCTTTAACAACAATGCTGCAGAGCAAAAATGTAAAATTTACATCGCTTTCTCGCTCATAAACGGCCTTTGGCGCCACTGTATCGAAAGGAACTTGAGCGAGTGCTGCTGTATATCCCTCCGCATCAGAACGCACTGTATTTCGGTCGTCAGCCTTGGGTTGCGAGTCGAATAGAACAGATTCTATATTTTGCATGCTTGTACGTCCCATACTCTTGCGCTTTCGGTATATGTTAGACGTATTACTGGTTCGCTGAGACATCCTAACACGGGGCGCGAGATCGATTTGACGTTGGCGATCAGCACTTAATCGAAATTAAAAGATTTCGCAGCAAAGTGCGGAGACTGCATGTGACGGGTCTGCAAGTCCAGATTCAAAATATATCTCTTTTGGAGCAGCCTGACATGGCTGTAGGAACAGTTAGCAATTCTTTGTCAGATTGTGACATCTAATAAGCAAACATAAGCTAGTCAGCAGCATAGCGCAGAAGCCTGTTCCTAATCACAGCTATAATTTCAGATGATGTTAGTTCACTACAAGTCACACGCAGCAGCGTTTTGAAGAAGATATTTCCGCATGGGAATCAATGTTATGCAGTTCAAGCGACCCGGTAGAAATTCAGCCACATATTATGATTACATTACAGTAAACGTTTTCCTGCACCTGTGCTTGCACTGATTTATAAAGTACTAGTACTTACATATCTGCTGCAGTAAGTATATCTTGATCCGCTGCGTACGTAAACTATGAATGTTCCCTAATGACATCGCAAGGCAACCTATTCTTTTTTCTAAGTGCGAATAATAAAACAATTGCGATATTGCGCACAATACTCGTAAAATATCAGTTTTCTTTGTGGACAATAAGATGAGCAGACTGAATGAGCCATTCATCCAAAAACGGATCAATCTGAAACCAGCACTCAACACGTCCAGCCGAAACTGGTGAAGTGTTATGAATGGTCAAAGTTGAATAGCACGAGCATGTTCCTTTTTCGGATAAAATCCCATCAACTTTGTAATCACTACCCAGTGTTTCAGCGTCAATTTTAAGGACGCTAAATGGATGCGTCTTTGGGGCATAGAGGATGCCCTTCTCATGGTACCAGATGAACCGATTGCTATAATCTTTGTCTGTCCCTTTAAACAATTCAAACTGTGTGTAACAGTGGAACTCAGCTGCTTGACCTTTGCGCGCGGTGACATTCTGCATTGCAGGAACAAAAACATCCTTCGGCTGATAAAGTGGGCTCATCAGAATTCGTGAAGTGATAGTTGATACATTGTGAGGGTTTCTTTCCGTACACGTATATAAACCAGCGAAGAACTGAATAGCTTCTGCTATGTGTAATGTTGACATCAGCCGGTTCGGTTGCGAGGCGAACTCCAGTGTCACTGTGTTCCATTTCAAATAATATGGTCCGAGTTGAACGGTGCGCTTACAATGACAGATATAACAATCTGTTATTGAGCCGCATTTAAATGAAGTATCTTTATAAAGGTTTCCCAAGACAGAATGATCCCATATTGGATATTTGCCGGTATTATTTTTGTCACTACGCTCTGGATAATGCATGATACATGATAGCGTAACCGCGGAGCCGATTTCTGGACGCATAATTGCAGGTTTTTCCGTCTGATTAGGTAGTTCAAACGAAGGTGAATGTCCCAAATTGACTATTCCATTCTTTCTACTCTCTTGTGCACTTGCAAGTTTGCGGGACGCTGCAGGAAAATGCAAGCCATAATCGACAGACTACATGCAACGTCACTGCTAACATTGTGATGCGATTGACAATCATGAAATAACCATGCAGGCTATAACCATGAAATTGCTAGTGATAGGAGAATCAACTTACGAACAATATTAATGCCACATAGTGCACCATTAGACAAGCATTGCGATCCTACCTGCATTGCGATCTATCCACGCTTGCTTATTTATTGTACAAGCAAAACAGCAACAAATGAAAACCTGCCATATAACGAAGCCTGTGGTCATGATTCGTAACGCCACACAATGTACCTGACGCCTCTGTCATTGCTGCAGATGCTTGTTTTCCGGTCACCCAGCAAACATTTCGAAAGGCACCGTAATATCGTACGTGCATTAGCTCAAGAGTTTCTAATGCAACCGGTTTTTGATTTTCTCAGTTTTGAGTGTCCTTCAAATTTTGAATGGCTCAGTGTTATGTTCAGCTGGGCGAATGAATATAAGTATTTCAACCGGCCAATATATGGTTAATATTTCGACGTTGGTCAGTATTTCGATCATGGTAATGATGCTGCAGTCGTAGAAAAGTATGCGTGCCAGTTGGTTTGATCCACATTCTTTTGCCGTAATCCTCCAAAAGCACAAAGCACCTCGTAAACATACTGCTGCACTTGAAAAACACTGTTGAAAATCGACGTTGCAGGAAGAACGGGGAGTTCGATTTTCTCACTATAATCGTAGCCTAAGGACAGTCTTGTTAAGCCCAGTGCGTGTGTAGATCAGTAGAAGCACATCTATCTGTACTTCTATCAAGGAAAAGATCTATATTACAACGGAAAACCCCGTACGATCTGGTCAGAACAAACAAAAAAATTTATCCAAAAACTGCTAACCCCATTCGATTCAGCATATCTGGAAACTGTGTCACATTTTGTTTTGGTAATTATCCGCTCCGGCTCTCGTTCACAGACGCCGGTGCCGGTAGAGCTGAAAGCTCAAGGTGACCTTGAAAATAATTTCAGAGTCCGGTTGCATGGAGCAAAAAATCAGTAAATTTAAAGTGGCACCTTTTTAGATCAGCAAATTAAAAAGGTTTAAACTTTTATTCCTACAAAATTGAAACAGCCACTCACTAGCCAGTTAGCAGTAACACAAACGATGCTGCTAGTGGATGGCTTTATTTCAGTAGATCGTTAACAATTTAAAGCGCTAAAAAACATGACGTCTTAGGAATAAGAACGCTCGTTAAAAGCCACTAGAAAGCAGCTGAAGCTACAGTCCGAGCAAAACTAAGGGCAATGATTAATCAGCATATACGTTCCGTAAAACTAATAATTCCTTATAATACGGAATAAATTAGTTCCTTTAGATCAGAAAATCCCAAACCAAATGAACTTCTCAGATCGGAAAATTTAAATTCCCTACAAAAAAACATCATAAAAATAAACGGCATCCTCGTCGGCAATGAATCATAAAGGCTAACTGTATGATATTAATGATCACAATCAGTACAAAAAGGGCTGTTCAGTGGCGTTCACATTGGAAATAAATCAAATAACCATACATAAAAAAAATATCGATTACATAAATTACGAAGTATTACCGCTGTAGTACATCGCCTCGCAGAACAGTTCAGAAAAATAAAAACTGACTCATAAACAACTATCATTCCTAAGGAAACGGGTATTAATTCGAAGACTACGGTCACGGGGGTACGGTCACAGGGGTTCGGATCAACGGGTTACCGAACTATCATTACTATTTAGTGTACAAACTGAGTGACCAAATTACTAGCCCGATATATGGATGGGTAACCGCACTACCGCTATTCTCCAGTACACGGGGCTCGTTAGGTGAGTGAGTAACCAAACGAGTGGTAACGAACGAGTAACTGAGCTACTACTACTGGAACTGTACATTAGTTTGTGACCGAAGTACCACTATTCTCGTGTACGGAGGCCGGTAGGCGAATGGGTGACCGACCTACTGAAAATAACCATTGCGCACCCTTGCTAGGTGGGTACGTAACGAAGCGAGTGGTGATAAGTAACTAAAATATCACTACTGTTAACTGCAAATAGTGAGTGACCAATTTCCATTACGGTCCAACGCGCAGAGCCGACTGAGAGTTTGAGTAACCATATCACCGTTATTTTCTTGAGCGCAAATCGTGATAGGTGGTGAAGAACTGAAGTAATACCAGTATACCACCCACCAAAATCAATATCATTCGAGAAACCGACCGCAGGCCACAAGAATAGGTATGGCACGTTTTCTACACGTCAAATTTTTAGAACGCGGAATCACGCTTGTGGTCTGCGTTGACCGCCGTTGTCAACCTGTTGCTTTGCGTTGTCCACCCGTTGTCTTCCGTTGTCCACCCGTTGTCTTGCGTTGTCCACACGTTGTCTTGCGTAGTCCACCCGTTGGCTTACGTTGTCCACCCGTTGTCCTCCGTTGTCCACCCGTTGCCTTGCGTTGTCCACCGGTTGTCTTCCGTTGTCCACCCGTTATCCTCCGTTGTCCAACCGTTGTCCTCCGTTGTCCAACCGTTGCTTTGCGTTGTCCAACCGTTGTCCTCCGTTGTCCACCCGTTGGCTTGCGTTGTCCTCCGTTGTCCACACGTTGCCTTGCGTAGTCCACCCGTTGGCTTACGTTGTCCACCCGTTGTCCTCCGTTGTCCACCCGTTGCCTTGCGTTGTCCACCGGTTGTCTTCCGTTGTCACCGTTGTCCTCGTTGTCCACCGTTGTCCTCGTTGTCTTGTTGCGTTTGTCCACCGGTTGTCTTCCGTTGTACACCCGTTATTCTCCGTTGTCCACCGGTTGTCTTCCGTTGTCCACCCGTTGGCTTGCGTTGTCCACCCGTTGTCCTCCGTTGTCCACCCGTTGTCTTGCGTTGTCCACCCGTTGGCTTACGTTGTCCACCCGTTCTCCTCCGTTGTCCACCCGTTGTCTTGCGTTGTCCACCCGTTAGCTTACGTTGTCCACCCGTTGTCCTGCGTTGTCCTCCGTTGTCCACCCGTTGTCCTCCGTTGTCCTCCGTTGTCCTCCGTTGTCCACCCGTTGTCTTGCGTTGTCCACCCGTTGGCTTACGTTGTCCACCCGTTCTCCTCCGTTGTCCACCCGTTGTCCTCCCTTGTCCACGCGTTGCCTTGCGTTGTCCACCCGTTGTCTTACGTTTTCCACCCGTTGTCCTCCGTTGTCCCCCGTTGTCCACCCGTTGGCTTACGTTGTCCACCCGTTCTCCTCCGTTGTCCAACCGTTGCCTTGCGTTGTCCACCGGTTGTCTTCCGTTGTCCACCCGTTATCCTCCGTTGTCCACCCGTTGTCCTCCGTTGTCCATCCGTTGCCTTGCGTTGTCCACCGGTTGTCTTCCGTTGTACACCCGTTATTCTCCGTTGTCCACCGGTTGTCTTCCGTTGTCCACCCGTTGGCTTGCGTTGTCCACCCGTTGTCCTCCGTTGTCCACCCGTTGTCCTCCGTTGTCCACCCGTTGCCTTGCGTTGTCTACCGGTTGTCTTCCGTTGTCCACCCGTTATCCTCCGTTGTCCACCCGTTGTCCTCCGTTGTCCATCCGTTGTCTTGCGTTGTCCACCAGTTGTCTTCCGTTGTACACCCGTTATTTCCGTTGTCCACCCGTTGTCCTCCGTTGTCCACCCGTTGTCTTGCGTTGTCCACACGTTGTCCTCCGTTGTCCACGCGTTGCCTTGCGTTGTCCACCCGTTGGCTTGCGTTGTCCACCCGTCGTCCTCAGTTGTCCACCCGTTGTCTTGCGTTGTCCACGCGTTGCCTTGCGTTGTCTACCGGTTGTCATCCGTTGTCCATCCGTTGTCCTCCGTTGTCCATCCGTTGTCCTCCGTTGTCCACCCGTTGTCCTCCGTTGTTCTCCAATTGTCACCCGTTGTCCTCCCTTGTCGTTGCCTTGCGTTGTCACCGTTGGCTTACGTTTCCACCGTTGTCCTCCGTTGTCCCCGTTGTCCACCCGTTGGCCCGTTGTCACCGTTCTCCTCCGTTGTCAACCGTCTCCGTTGTCCACACTTTCCTTGCCGTTGGCTTACGTTTTCCACCATTTGTCCTCCGTTGTCCTCCGTTGTCTTGCGTTGTCAAACGTTGTCTTGCGTTGTCCACCCGTTGGCGTTGTCCACCGTTGTCCTCCGTTCATCCGTTGCCTTGCGTTGTCCACCGGTTGTCTTCCGTTGTACACCCGTTATTCTCCGTTGTCCACCCGTTGTCTTGCGTTGTACAAACGTTGTCTTGCGTTGTCCACCCGTTGGCTTACGTTGTACATCCGTTGTCCTCCGTTGTCAACCCGTTGCCTTGCGTTGTCTACCGGTTGTCTTCCGTTGTCCACCCGTTATCTTGCGTTGTCCACACGTTGTCTTGCGTTGTCCACCCGTTGGCTTACGTTGTCCACCGGTTGTCTTCCGTTGTCCAACCGTTGTCTTGCGTTGTCCACACGTTGTCCCCGTTGTCTTGCGTTGTCCATCCGTTGTCTTGCGTCGTCCAATCGTTGTCTTGCGTTGTCCACCTGTTGTCTTCCGTTCTCCACCCGTTGTCCTCCGTTGTCCATCCGTTATCCACCCGTTGTCCTCCGTTGTCTACCCGTTGCCTTGCGTTGTAAACCCGTTGTCTTGCTATGTCCACACGTTGTCTTGCGTTGTCCACACGTTGTCCACCCGTTGTCTGGCGTTGTCCAACCGTTGTTATCCGTTGTCCACCCGTTTTTGTTATCCACGGCTACAGAGGAGACTGACGTATTTTTTGCGCGGTGCAGGTCCGGTTGGCGTAAACCACAGTATATCGGCTGGGCCGACTGCAGGGTTTTCATGCCGAATAGAAGGAATGCGCTACTGCAGGTTATGGGACGTGGTTGCCACGTTCGGTTATCTTGGAATCTTCGTTGTCCATAAGCAACCACCGATTCGTTCGCTTGTGTGCCGTAGCCGACCGCCCGGGTACCGCTCTACTAAATCGATTTTGGGAGTTTTCCGGCATACAGAACCACGTGGAGCAAGTTAGAAGTCTGAGCCAACAAGACTTTATCCGATAGAAGTATACATAATTGTAACAGTGTCAAAAATGCGCCCGCCCGTGCTTCAGGACCTTACATGGCCAATTGTGTCTGCACGCAACCCGAGTTTTCGATGGATTTTTGCCATCCACTGTTTAACTTCGAGAACCGATGCTTGTTAGTCCTGATCAAGGATTACTAATAGTACATTACTGAATTATCTCAGAGTAATTGACTAAGTCGCTAATTACAAGGAACTTTTCGAGGTTATAAAGTTCAAAATTAGCGACTTTTGCGAACTCGTGGTTCTTGAGGGACTTAAGATTCCAGTTTGGTTTGTATTTTGTTGCTGCTGTAAGGTCTCGTAACGCTAACTACGCTATCGGATACGTATCAAATTGCTGTGGTGCATTAGGAAAAACATCTTGAAGACACTGTTGCGCCCCAACCCCAATAGGCGTCAGCGTTTTAAGAGATTTGGCCGGGTACATAGCACCAAATTCGTACACATACACGCCAACTTTTGCAGTCGCACACTGTCAAACACTTTTTTGCATTGCTTATGATGTTTTGTAGCCAAAGGATTCGTATACATAGGCGAAAAAACCGTTTTTGCGCGCAACGTCCGGTTTGGGAGGAATTATCTGTAGTGAAATAAAATTCCAAAAGTTTGCTGATGTGACTAATTATGTTACCAATTCTGATTGTGTTATTGAAAATTTGCAAAAAGTTAAAATAAGATGCTGTAATATAAACGGAATTTTGTGTAAGTAAAGTAATGTTAAACACTTTTGTTCCGAGGCAGATATCACCGCATTAACCGAAACTTTTGACAGAGCAGATTATAACGATAATCTGTTTGCCAACTTGAATAATTTTAATGGTTTTCGTAAATGGCGGAAATCTGATGTTTTCGATGACAATCATGGTGGAGTGGCGTTAGTAATGTCTCATAAGTTTAGTGGAAAAGACGGTCTGACCTCGAGTGTGATGAATTGGAAATTTTGTTCGTAGAGTCAACTTCGCTCGATTGTATTTTTGGTGTATTCTATGCACGACCAATTTTTAAAACTATTGTTATCCCTCACCTAATTGAGCAACTACAAGAGAAATTTCCAGTTGAACTATGTAATAAACTTATTCTAATGGGCGATTTCAACTTACCGGATATTTGCTGGAATGCAATGAGCGCCTCTAGCGGTACTTCTCATAAACTGCTGAAAGCGCTCAAAGAATTCAATTTTCGTCAAATAATGGATTCTGCAACTAGGAAAAACAACATCCTGGATCTTTGTTTCGTTTCCACTTATCGTTTAGTTACGGATATTGAAATTATTTCGCCTCCTTCAGCAACAAATGACCACTCTGCGTTTCAGTTTTGCTTGCACACCGAATTCTGTTTAGCTGAGACAAAGTATGTGAAGGAAACGTGGAAAATACCGTCTGCTAAAATCGTGCCCTTTCAGGATGCTTTAGGTTCTGTTGATTGGTCTGCTGTTCTGATTGATCCTGATCCTCTGTTTTAGCTTCACGCTTTGACCAAACGCTGATTAAAACTGCTGAACTTTTTTTTCGGTTTGAAAAACATAACCCTAAAAAAATTCGAAAATACCCCGCCCGAATACAGAAGGCACTTAATGCTCGTGACAGATTGCATAAAAAGTTTTTGAAAGAAATTTTCCCGTTGAAAAGAACGCGTAAAACGGCTGTGGAAAACTGCGTCGAAAAATTTAGATGCTCTTTGCGTACCTATGAAAGGCATAATATTCTTGAAGTAGCCACGTCTACACGTAACAAAAAAAATTTTGGCAGTATGTTAAGCGTACAGTTGATCAAAAACCGTTTCCTCCTATTAAAACTCCGGATGGTAAAATTCTGATTTCTGATGCTGAAAAAGCGAATGCGTTTAACAAGCTGTTTTTGGAATCTCAAAACGTTTGTCTAAGACACTGTTCCGGTACTTTACCAGCAGAAGACACTTCTGTGACCTTTGATTACTGAAGACGATGTCACCCGTGCAATGGGTCAAACCTCTTTTTCCTCTTCGTCGGGACTTTTTAAAATTTCAAACTCTTTGTTAAAGGCGTGCGGGCTTAAGATTGTTGCTCCTTTGGTTAAATTGTTCAATGTTTGTATTCAAAGCGGCATATATCCGTCAGTCTGGAAAACTTCTTTTATTTCGCCCCTCCCAAAATCTTCTTGTAATCAAACTGTATTAAATAATTACCGTCAATTGCTTTTTGCATCCTGTATCCAAAATTTTCGAAGGATGCTTGGCTAATTATTTAACGTTTTTCTAGAAACTAACGGGTTGTTGAGTGATAATCAATTTGGATATCGAGCAAGCAAAAAGAAGTACAGAACTACAGTCGTTGCTTTTTACAAAATTCATAAAAGATTTTATTGGAAGTGGCTACGAAGCGGATGCCCTGTTTTTTGACTGTTCAAAGGCGTTTGACCGAGTGGACCATGCATGACTGCTTAAAACACTCGCTTCGTTCTCCGTACCTCCTGATGTCGTACGGCTATTCAGCAACTATTTAACGCATCGGCGACAAGTGGTAGTTGTAAATGGCAAGGTTTCTGAGAGCGGTATTGTAACCAGCGGCGTACCACAGGGTTCCATAGTTGGTCCTATTTTTTTCAACTGCGAATTGAGCGGCCTGCCGGCTGTCTTGCCTAATGGAAGTAAAATTTTTATCTTTGCAGATGACGTTTTTTGTAGGCCAATAGTTGGGGACGATGATCGCGAAAAGTTACAGGAAGATATTAATTCGGTTTCCGATTATGCAGCGAAGAAAACCTAAGTTTTAATCCAAAAAATCTGTGTTTATACGTTTTTCTTTGAAGCGTGATTTGACATCTGTCCTAAATATTATTTGAACAACGTAGAGGTTGAACAGAAAATATTACAAAATATTTGGGGTTGTTTGTTGACAGACATCTGCGTTGGAGTGAACATACCAGTAATCTGTGTATGAAAGTCCGCAAACGAATTGGCTACCTGTTTTCGATGTTCGATAGTTATGGTTCTGCGGCGCTAATATGTTTATTCAAAGCTCTTGTCCTACCCATCTTTGACTATTGTAGTCCGTAGTAAATCCTTTTTTAAAACACCCAGGATGCCCTTGAAAAGTGCGCATTCAAATTTCTCAAGCGTTTACGCTTAGGAAATGCCGCTGATGACTACTGTGGTCGTCTCCGAGAATGCGGCTGGGATAGTGTACAGCTACGTCGCATAAAGCGTTCATTGACTGTAGCTTATAAAATGTTATTTGGTATTACTCCTTTTGCGATAATTTTTTCGTTGTTTATGAATCCGTTACTGCCGTTAGTACTGTTGCAGGTAACACGCGGAATGCCACTCGTATGGCTCAACATCCATTCCCGATCAAAGCGGCTAACACAACCTTTTGGCAGCTGTAACTACCGGCAAATGAAAACGAATTTTCCAACCGGACCGCCAAACTATGGAATGACCTCAACTTGAATGAAAGCGCTTATCGGTCTTTACGGACCTTTGAAGGCATGGACAGCGTTTCATGGGGCATATTCCTGGATAAAGAGCTGTTACCTTGTTAATACCTTCTTTCTCGTCTCTGTTTTTAATCAACGACATATTTCATTGGAGAATATGTGTTTGAATTTCATTGTTTCTGATTTGGTTGTCTGTAGATCTCAATAAGGAGCGATTCCTTGTATCTAGAGACGTTAAGCAATAAACCTAAACCTAAACCTAAACCTAAACGCGCGGCGGTGTACCAAAACTCTCATTATGAACCGATGCTCTTCCAATTTTGCACGAAAGCGCACATTGAATTTCGTTGTGGCACAGAACTAGCTTTCCACAATTTTTTTCAAATTTTAAAATGAATTTCTAAATTTTACCTACCGGTATGGCTCTATAATGCGATGAGCCGGAGGGATATTCTAAAGGAAGAACATCCCGCTTTTGTTTTCTGGATACACCATGATGGTATTCAGGATAAATGGTTTAAGCACATCGTACGTACGTAAATTTGCAGTAATTTTGGTTACGAGAGTCGAGAAGACACAATGAATGTATCGCGGTGGTACCGAGATGCTCAGCTTCGGTCACACGCGTCTGCTTTCTTGGGCCACATTTTTTAAGTTTTTTTAGTTTTTGTTCTTCTCTTTGTTTTAAATGCTGTCGGGCCAGTCGCTATGGCAGCCTGCGAGTATGGCAGCCAGCGACAGTCCCGCTTCCGGTGTGCTGACAGAGCGGCGAAAGTTGCGCTCCGGTCGGAACGGCTACTGGTTGAGTCGTTGACGGTTGTAACGCTCGGATTTCGTTATCCCTCTCCGTCAGTTTCTTAGTCCAATACGAAATTTGCTCGGAGTTACACAGGACGGCTGAAGAGTAATATGGTCGGATCGAGTGTGGCCAGGCGTTTCTTCACCTCGTTAATCTCGTGGAGCGCTTCGTTACGTTTCTTTGCTAGGCCATCTAATCGAGCTAGTCAGATTTCCTCGCCAATCACCGCCTGTGTGGTCGGTGCTGACGTTCCTGACGGGCGCAAGAGTCGTTCCTGTGCTAGCAGCACTCAGGACCCGTAGCCAATAGAAAACGCCCATCCTACGCAGGACTGTAGCCCATATAATTGGGAAAATGTGTATGGGTGCAGTCCTGCGTAGGGTGGGATACGGTGTGCGGATTGCGTAACAGCGTGCGGGTGGCAGTTAGCATACACGGCGACTAACCACCGCTTGCATGCAGTTACTTGCTATCCGATTATTGCATACGAGCCTCCTATGCAACGGCTCCTATACAAATCGTGGCAATTGTCTTTGTCTACCGAACTGAGCTATTTTGCACAGGACAGACTACATATATAACGCAATGTACACTGTACGTTTATTCATAATAACTGTTAATTATTGTGTAATACCTACAAATTATTGTGCACTTGTTGAGTGTGTGTAGTATTGTACTTGTTGTCGCTGTACACTGTTTTGCACATTATCTGCATAATGTTCCGCTCTCCTATTTATACTTCTGTTAACCTGTTTGCGTACCTGGCCGACGAGCCCAGCGATGCCAAGACCATCATCTTGGATGAGTTCCCTTTTAGCGATTTTCGTGATATACCGCTGCAGCGTTTCACTGATCTGCGTTGCCTGTCGGCCAATGCCTGTGGAGTGAAGTCGGTTCTTGGACTGCCACCGCTGCCCCAACTGACCCAACTGCAGCTTAACGACAACCAGCTGGGATACAACCCGGACACTCCCCATTTCGAGTTGCTGGCAACCGCGACACCGAACCTGAAGCGGCTCACTTTGGCGAACAACGGGATCAGCAGTCACGACATTCTGAAGCCATTGAAGGACTTGCCGGCCCTCCACACAGTGGACCTTGGCTACAACAGCGTGAACCGCACCCACCACTGCCAGCTCCACGACGCCGTGCCGCAGGTTATGCACTGGGACGGAGACGGTGGAGAGACCGATTGCGACAGCGATGCAGAAATGAGCGGTGAGGATATTCCTTGTCTCTGTGATGAATTAATTTTTAATTGCGTTTTATAAAGTGATTTACTCAGAAAATTTTATGTATTTTGAATTAGGGTCGGAGAAGGGCGACGAGGAGGAAGACGACGATGTGTCGATGGCCGATTCAGGTAACTGGTTCTACTAACGTTATTGTTCCAGCTTTCGTTTGCAAAAATTTTTTTCGGCAATTCTTGCAGATAGCACATGGCTACTGTCCGACGATGATGTGGATCATATTTCGGATTCGGCTTCCGAACCGGACATGGACGCCAGCGACCACCAGGACGAAGACGATGACGACGTCATTATGTTGAATTAGTGTGGCTTTTAGTATTGTTTTGTTATTCCTGTTGTTTTCCATTACCCCCACCGGAACCCCCACAGGAATGCTGGCGGATGCTATTTTTTGTTTTTTTTTACTATGTTTCGTTTGTTTACTTCCTTGTTTTCACTTCCTGGTTATGAATCGTACTTCTGAACTCGTACGTGTCCAGTGTGAATAAAAATTGTGTAGTTTGCATAGGAGGCTGGTATGCAAATCGACGCTTTTCGCGGTATAAAATCCGATGATCCATAAATCACTCAAAGTTAAATTCTGACAGTTGAAATTTCGCTCTAGTAATTTTCTGACTTCCAAAATCTGCATTTGTGCAAATTCAGTGTTCACTATTTCGTTTCGTCGGATTTTTTTTTTACTCTTAAAAAATATGGATTACGAGTTATCGGAAGATGACCTTGTTGATGCGGCGGCTTTAGCGGCCTTAGACGACTGGGTCTTTGATGATGAGGCAATGGTCTTATCGCATGAGGACATGGTTGATGCTGCCGAGTTGGCCGGTATGAATGACTGGGTATTTAATGAGCCTCAAGTGGGAGGTGGTATCCCTGAGAATTTTCAAGTGGCTGAACATGTTGCTGTCGAGGCTAAAGGGCACCGGTTTTCGAAGACTCACAATATGCGTTTCAAGTGGTTTATGGTTAGCGTGCATGATTTGGACGCCATCAGTTTCATCGAAGCACCTGCTGTGATAGTGGCTGTATTGGATTGTGATAGTGACTGTTTTGGAGGGAATCGCAGATCACCAATATGTTCGTGTATCGGTGGAGTCGGCACATTTGTCCTTTCCTATCTGGACGCCCCCGACTTTGCGATCACAGCTGACCGTGCAGCGTTGGATGGCGGAAATATCGAAGGTCCTCAATTCGCATCAAGAGTTGGTCATTGATGATTCGTATGCGGTTTCCGTGGAGCATACGGAGATTCCGTCTGGTCGATGTGTCCGGGACGTCCCGTTGTTATTGTACCAGAAGCTGAAGAAGATGAGGTCGGTCATCTTGGTCAACAACGACGACGAGATTTGTATGGCCCGCGCGCTGGTAATCGGTAAAGCCTTTGCGAATGGTCGGGAGGATTACGCCAGACACATTGCCAAAGGAAAGAGAAAAATCCTTGCGCTGTCCAAGGAGCTGATTGAAGATGCTGGCCTACCTATCCGGGAATACACGCTCGCGGATGTCACGGCTTTTGAAAAGGTACTTCCTGGTTATCAGGTTGTTATCGTTAGCACCATGCAAGCCAACAGTATAGTATACAGCGGAAAACCTGAGAAGAAGCATATCTGCCTATTGTTCCATAATCGCCATTTTGACGTGTTGACCTCTATGACGGCTTTCTTCAATCGTGGCTATTGGTGTTTTGAGTGCAACAAAGGGTACAACGACCGAAGAAATCACCGTTGCGCAGGACAGTGTAATCAGTGCCTGCGTCCAAGTTGTTTAATGGACACCTCGAACATGATCGCCTGTACTGATTGCAATCGGCAATTTTATGGACAGTCTTGCTTTGATCACCATAAGCTGGGTCCCGGCACAGAGATGTTGTTTTGCAATCGACGTAGCATTTGCAGTACCGTAAAATTGTGCAACCAATGCGGATCAGTTTATTCCACGATGAGAAGAAAACCGGGAGCCATTCATCGTTGCGGCGAGATGTTTTGCAAGACCTGTCGAGAACATGTCATAGGGGATCATCGATGCTACATGAAACCAAAGACTTTGGGTCCGTTTCGAAAGATGCAGTTTTCCGATGCCAAGTTTTTATTTTTTGACTTTGAGACCTACGTTGCGGACGATGGACAGTTGCATCCTAATCTCGCGGTAAGCGTAACTATCATCAAACGTTTTTTGACTGTTAAAAGAATACGTTTGTTGAATGCTTTTGTAATACAGTAGCAAATCATTTGAACTTTGTCACCCCCACTGAAACCCCCACCAACGTTCTGCTATATTTCATGGCATCTTTAGGTGGTGCAGAATGACGAAGGCGAGGAGTGGATATTTCCAGAAGAAACCGAACCGCTTGGAGACATCACTGAGCAACTATGCCGATTCCTCTTTAGCGATGACCACCGGGATCATTACATCATCGCGCACAATTTTAAAGTAAGTTCTACAGTGGTTGTTTGTTTCATCTTAACAAAAATGGTGTTGTTCATTTGAAGGCTTTCGATGGGTATTTCATTATGAACTGGCTTTTAACGAATGGCATCGTTCCCCGGGTGATTATGAATGGCGGCAAGATAATGCAACTGGATGTACCACAGCTGAACATCCGCTTTCGGGACAGCATTAATTTCAACCCTCAAAGCCTGTCCAAATGGCTTGCCACTTTCGGTATTGCAGACACCGCAAAAGGCCTTTTTCCACATCGTTTTAATCGCCCCGAAAACTGGGACCAAGTGACGGAGTTCCTTTCAATGGACGAGTACGGATACCAGTTTATGAACAAAAAGGACCGGGAATCTTTCAAGATATGGTACGAAAATGAAGTGGCTGCCAAAGAGAACACCTTCGACTTCCGCAAAGAGTTTGTCAGCTACTGCAGCAACGATGTAACTGTGCTTCGCAAGTGTTGTCTGCAGTTCCGCAGTCTCGTTTTGGGCATCAGCAGCGGAATCTGTCCATTTTCGTCATCCATAACCATTGCCGGATTATGTGGTTTGTATTGGCGTACGAATATCCTCAAGGCTAACCAGATCGGTTTGATCCCACCACAAGGATACCACTCCAATAGAAACCAGTCCGTCAAGGCATTGAAGTGGCTGCAGTGGATGGAGCTGGAAGAGAATTATCCCATCCAGACCAGAGCCTCAGGAGCAGAATTTAAAATTGGACAGTATTTTGTGGATGGATACTCCGCCTCTACCGGCAAAGTTTTTGAATTTCACGGTTGCTGGTACCATGGATGCCCTGAATGCACTGCTCCGGACACGATTCATCCTTTCCGAAACCTGCCCATGAGCAAGATTATGAGGAAACCGTTCAACGGGATGCTCGTATTCGTAGCATGGGCCATGAACTTTGCGTGATTTGGGTGCACGAGTTCGACAGCCTTGTGAAACAGGAGCCATTTTTTGCAGCCTTTATCGAAGAAATCACTGTACGGCAGCCCATCAATCCCCGGGATGCGTTTTATGGCGGTCGCACGAATGCCACCAAGCTTTTTCATAGTGTGAAGGACGACGAAAAGATTCGCTACTTTGATCTTTGCAGCGAATACCCCTACGTTAACAAGAACAAGCGTTACCCCATCGGACATCCGACCATCATCAATAGGGATTTTGATGCAATTGCCAATTATTTTGGGATAATTCAGTGTGAAGTACTGCCTCCAGCAGATCTGAATCTTCCCGTCTTGCCATACCGATCCAACGGGAAGTTGGTCTTCCCTTTATGCCGCACCTGCGCCCAAGAAAAGCAGAACGCACCATGTACACACGCGAACGATGAACGGGTGCTCGTTGGAACTTGGTGTAAGTATCAAATTCCGCATGTGTAAAACCCCCACATAAACCCCCACGGGAACTTTTTTTTTTAGGTTCACCGGAGTTACACGCTGCAATTGACCGCGGTTACCTCGTAGCTAAGATATTTGAAGTTTGGCATTTTGAACAGTCCGAGGAGCGATTGTTTGCGACTACATTGACCGTTTTCTCAAGATCAAAACCGAAGCGAGTGGATGGCCAGCGGATGTCGCTACCGACATGGAAAAAGACCAGTATCTGCGGGATTTCCATGAACACGAAGGGATCGAACTGGAGCACGACAAGATAGAAGCCAATCCAGGGATGAGAGCACTGGCAAAGCTCTGTTTGAATAGGTATATACTTGAACTTTTTCCTTCGCAAAGCGCACAATGACCGCCTTTGTTTGCAGCTTCTGGGGCCGTTTGGGCATGCAGGACAACAAACCAAACACCAAGTACATCTCTTCGCCGGAGGAATTTTACCGGATGCTTCTTTCTGGAGAGTATCATATACACTCGTGGGACCTGTTCAGTGACGATGTCCTCCAACTATCCTACACCAGGGAAAGCCTGTTCGTCGAGCAGAACCCACACGCCAACGTAGTTTTAGCTGCGTAAGTGTCTACTGTCTTTGGGGTGCACCGGTGATTCATCGGTGAAATTTTTTGTTACAGTTTTACGACCTGCTGGGCACGCCTTCACTTGTATGGTTACATGGAACAAGTGCAGGACACGTTATTGTATTTTGACACTGGTGAGACATCTGCTTAACTTCTTATTAAGTGTCAAGACGTGATTCTTGCGTATTTTCAGATTCCATAATTTTTGTGAACAGACCAGGAATTTCCGTTCCGCCGACGGGCAAATTTCTCGGCGACTTGACGGATGAGTTACAACCTGGACAGTTCATGACCCAGTTCGTTAGCCTTGGCCCAAAGACATACTCTTACAAGACCAACGATGGAAAAAGTGTAGTTAAAGTTAAAGGTTTTACACTCAATGGTCAAACTAGTGAAGTCATAACTTTCGAAAGGATGGTTGGTGTTTTGGAAAAGAAGACCGATTTTCTTGTGGCAGAGTATCCAGACAGTATTAAGCGCGATAAGAAAACTATGACTTTGAAGCAGGTGGATCTTTGTAAACGGCTGAGTTTTACGTACGATAAGCGAAGAATTGTTGATGTTGATTGGAGCACTTTGCCTTACGGTTATACGTCGCGATGAAGTTCTGAATAAAATCTGAAGTGGTTCTTCTCAGTTTATTGGTAGCACTAACACCAAATCAATCATCGCCCAAGTCAAATCAACCTCAGATTTTGCGCCTAAAAAATTACAACGCCCACTAGAAAACAAAACAGCCGTACACTCTGGCAACTTGATTCGTAACCCAAGAAATCTATCAGCAAAGTACGGAACGTTCAATCGTTTACTAACACTGTCAAGGTCAAACTTCTGACCAAAATCATGCGTGCCCACAATATTGACCACCGTATAGTCAGTAACAGAACAATCATAACCAATTTTACGCAGTAATCGCACAAAATATTTTAACAAAAAACGCGATTCGTCCAAATTCTTGCCACCATTCACGGTCACTTTACCGTTGACATACAGCTGACAGTGTGCTCTGGGTGGGGCAATGCTACGAAGGAGAAGTCCGGAAAATGAGCGGGGGGTATATTGAGCCAATGGCAAGCGTTTCTCAATCTCGGTCAGATTCAGGTGGCAGTTTAGCTTCGCGGTGGCAACAACATTGGTGATCCGTACCATTCCTGTGTAACCACAGTCCGAAGATGATTGCCTTCCGCTGCGTGGTTTGGCTTGCAGATGTCAATCGCCGGAACGTTGGGCAGTGATAGTCCTCCAGATTGATGACTTCCGGCAAGTACTTTTCCAGGAAACGACACTTTTCCAATCCCTTGGCGTAGAACGTGACGTCAGCTGGTCGACCGATTCTTTCAAAAATATTCTCAAAAACCACCGTTGTCTGATTGTGGCGGTAGTCACCGTAAGTGTGCCAGATCAATCCGTGAGAATGGCGCGCCTGTCTCTCCAAGTCACGTGCACACTGGGAAGCACTGCGCGGTAGCGTAAATGTGTAAAAGCCGACTTCCCCTTTTTCGGGACAAAAAAACGCCAACTGTTTTAAAAATTTTAGTTCGTCAATCACGAACCAATCAGCATCTAAAACACACCTTAGACCCATTTTGAACTGTGTGAATGAATGGAATGAACTGCAACTAATAAATACGCGTTGCTTTTGTACTGTAACAATCGTACGTTTTTCGTCTGCCCCAAATTTGCATAGGAGAGTGGTATGCAAAACCAGTATGTTCCACTGGAAGCAGGTCTTTTATGTACGTACAAGTGCAGATTTACTCAACTTGCATAGGAGCGTCCCATGCAAAACTGAGCCTGCAGCACCTTTCTGGATTTTGCACAGGACAACGCTTGTCTGCCAGCCCATAAAAGCAAGCAATAAGTGAATCACTATATCATTTTTTCGATGCTTCTGTTTTCTAAACTATTTTAAAGACGTTTATCCTTTGCAACAACTATGGAGTTCATTCCTGATTTAATTTCTTCTGAACGTGCCATGTCTCCCAAGCCGTCAAGCAGTGGAGCCGCCCGTGAGATTCCGGCCACGCCTCTGAAGCCACGTACTTTTGCCAAACGCCGTGCCCCGGAAGTGGATGATGTCAAGCTAAGCCTAGCCAAGAAGTTCAAGGAGCAAGAGGTCACCAAGCATCCTCGTCACGCCTTTACCCATGAAGGTGCCAATGTCTACAAGATCGGCTTCGAGAAGTACGTGTACGCCCGTTTCCAAGACGGAGTCTCGGCCATTGTCATCGGAGAGTGGAAGAAGCAGAGCGACGACACCTACCGCCGCACCCTGGAAAAGTCCATCACGGTAAAGAAGCCTGGATTCATGCGCTTGTGTGCCTTGATTATGAGCGGCAAAGGGGACCTGGACAAGATTTCCCAGTGCAGCAGCGGGACCGATGGTAAGCTGACACCACTGTACGCCCTGGAGAATGGATTGTACTTTGGATGGGGACGCTACAACCGTGTCAACACGGCCACCGTGCGTCGCTACACTCTCGGCAACAACGGCGACCTGTTTCCTACCAAAGCTGGCGTGACGTTTGGCTTGAAAACCTACGACGGACTGAAGGAGCTGGTTGTGGACATGACACTGCTGAAAGAGCTCCTCATTGTGGATGAAGCCAACCATGTGCCGAAGACTTTGAAGTCTGCCTTGGCTTATGACAAGCTGAAAGAAGTAAGCAGTTCTGTCTCAAGTTTAATTTGCACGTATCCATGTGTATCATTTAATCTAGGAAGTGGCCGAAGAGTTTACGGAACTGATCCACCAGATGCGTGGACGTAACGGCAAGATGGTGTGCGGGAGCGCCAGCGATGACGAGTGGGCAGCGGCTGAGAAGGCTATTTTGGAGTCGCGCTACGTGGAGGCTGTGCTGTTGGAAGCTGACCAAGTGGACGTTGGGCAAGTTATTGGATTGGACGTTAAAGGGTATCTTGAACTTAATGCTTTGGAGTTTCGTGCCATGTTTGCAAAGCTCATCTGAGCGATGTCAATGATTGCTTCTTATTGGCTTAGCGTTTCATTTGTCTCTTTTTCCTTAAACGAATAAACCGCGGCTGTTTTTTCCGTCATTTTAATTCCGATATGCGTTTACATATTTGTCGGATAAATGCACTGTCAATGACTTAAATGTTGATGTCAAAATAAGAATTAACATACTGACAGACCATTTTGTCGTTGCTCGCTCGATTATCGGTAAACAAATGCACAATATTAGTGTAAGATTCGCCACAAACACGTCGAAGAATAAAAAAATAAACAATATTGCCCACGCACGGTAGAATATTCAGATTGAAATTGTTCGGATTGCTCTATAATCCGATTCGCTGACATTATACTCGCAAAATTCTTTGTATACGAATCCAGTTTCCTCCCAAACGAATCAAACACCTCAATAACTCCATCCTGTTCTTGGTAAAGAGCAATCCAGTGTGATCCGTCTTGGTCCGCTGGATCAGTGTTGACCACCGCCGCACCAGGGTAGGGCGAAAGTGTATTTGGCACTTTGTCGCTGGCATACACTCCACGCAGCACTGTTTTCGTCGATGAGTTTGACTGTAGGGCACTGAAAATCTGCTCCGTGTTCATGTTGAAAAATCCGCAATCAACTGGCGATGCTGGTTAATTTCGATAATGCTGTCGTACACCAACATGGCGACCATCATGACTGTTTTATCCAGAGGTTTCTCAAAGTTGACCGACACGCTTAAATTGCCTTGCTTCACCAAAGTCAGCGGTCCTCTTCCTGTATGTCCCGGTGTCAAGTCAAAGCCGAATAACGTGTAACCACCATTATAAGCCGTCCGATTAAAATGAACACTGTTTTGTGGATGTGTTCGATATCCCAAGGCGTCCAACAAACCATCGTAGCACTCTAACGACTGTGACCGTCCAAAATCGGCAGTGTATGGTTTTGTGGGGTAGCTCTGTCCATCCACTTCCACACTGATCTGGGTGACGTTAAAGTGTTGAAAGTTGAAAGGATTTGTTTTGATGTTGCCGTGAAAATCGTCGCTTTCCAGGAAACCGATGATCACAACCTTAGGAATCTGTCCAATCTGCAGGTTGCTTACCACGGTGCTCTGCGTCTTTTGTGGAATATCCGACACACGCTTCACCACGCGCTCAATGTGATACATGACGGTTTTCTTTAGCATTTCCGAGGCCACGGCCGTCATGAAATCGGGTGCCGGGATATACCGGCGGACCGATAAGCGAGCATTCCGAATGAACGGTTTGAACTGTTTGGTGGCATTGGTATCCCATACACGCAAACAAAATTCCGGCCGGCTCATCACCAACCAGATATTGATGGGAACACCAGTGCACAATGGTTTACTTTGGTCGAGTAAGTCCGCAAATATTTTACCCGACAACTGCACGTAGTTACTGCCAGAAAATAGGGCTTTGCGGCTAACTTCTCCTTTGTTGTCTTTTTCGTCGCTCATCTTGTGTGCAGTGTCAGTATAAAACGCAGCAGATGATAACTGGGACCTTTGGGCATCCACCGAATAAGATAGCAAAGAGTCCAAATAAGCCCGGTATGGATAAAATGTCGCGGCATCCGAGATAAGTCGATTTGCCACAGTTACGTGGCACGAAGAGAACAGCGAATGCAGAAAATTGTTAACGGGGGCCACATTGTCAGCGTTCGTTACCAGCGTCCAGTCAGCAGCTCCTTTCTTTACTTTGATGCCGACCTCCAATTCTAAGATCATGTCTGCCAGGCTAAGCAGTCCAGCTGTACTGGGAGGAATATAAAAATTAATATCGCCAGCCGAGCCGCTATCCGTCAGAATCGTAGTGGGGTTCAACTTCTCATGCTCGGTACGCCACCGATCAGTTAGCGTAGCCGGTAAGGCGAACAGTTGGTTTTCCAGCTGCATTGCCGGCTCCGAATTTTCATCATCAGTAAGGCCATGGTCAAAAGTAGTCGGGAATATTAGTTGGAGGAATGCGTTTAATACGCTGTCGGTTACGGACAATACGGCGTTTCTTACGTATTCCACTTCCTTCTTGCGGTGCTAAACGCTTGCTTATGGTTTCTTTGGCTTTATCAGCAACCTCTTTAATAGCCCCGGTAGCGGCTTCTTGCAAATGCGGCGTGGCGGCATCTAACGCTGCTTTGGCATGCGGAGCGGCACGGCGTATGATGGGTTTGGCAAACGCCGATATTTTGGCGAATAAGCTCTTCAGGATTTGGGAAAGGCCAGAGCCGTTTTGTAGTGTTCCACGGTAGCGAATGAGGGCGCTACCTCCTGTTTGGCTAACGAATATTTCGTCGTAGCGGCGCGGATCAGGAACATACTGAATGAAAGGCATTTTCAGTAGAGACGCTGTGGTCGGAAGTGCAATTTCACAAGAGACTTTACCGTTTGGAATTTGGCTTCGTCTCCGAGATCGTTGGCAATAATCAGCTTGATAGTTTCAAAATGTTGGCGAAGAACTGGAACATAATGGGGAATGTCGAAGCGTGCTTCCACGGTTTGATTTACTTCGCCTCTAATAGGTACAGCACGCAGAAATTGCGCTGCGGTGTCTCCGATCAGACTGTAGTCGGCCACATCGCTGTATAAGAATAGGCTTTGGTTACCGAGCAGTGTGTTGACTGGTCGATCGGACAGAAATGTCGTCAGCTTTGGCGTTGGAGCTCTGTCCCAGAACGATAGGTATTTAGCTTTCGCTTGACCATGCGCGCCGTCAATCGTTTCAGCAGGAACCTCCGGCTCAAATTGGCTTTGTTCGAAACCCAGAATTTTTTGTAACGTTAAAGATTCGGGTGGAAAGCTAACAGATACTCGTTCATTTCCGATGCTGAGCTTGACCTTATGGTTGGTTGGCGTATAGAATTGTACGTCAAACATTTTGTTGCCCGGCAATGCACTTTTGTCGTCCATCACTTTTCCGTCCATTAAATAGGTCTTTATGATAGGAGCCAAAGAGTTAATGGTTTGCAGTAGCAACTCTGCGTTCTTGTAGTTGCCCGGTGGCACCACAATACTTTTTTGGGCACTGATATATCTAGGAGTTTGGATGAACTCACCATCTTTTTTCAGATAAAACTCTCGCACAACGTCTAGTTGGATTTTTTGCTCAACAGGCAGAGTATAAAACGAATTCAGATACTGTAGTTCCACCAGTGCCATTTCCCATTTGCCTTTCAAGGTAATAGGATGCTTCAGTTTGGTGGTCCAGTTCGACGGTGTGTTGGCAGGATCAGTAGCCACATCACTTGGCAGGGTTAGGTAGAATGGCGCACCTTCATACATTTTTCATCTATCCACTGATCGTGTTCCGGTCCGTAGCCTAGCCAACGAACTAAGACTTTCTTTCCACGGCGTTTTACAACAAAGTCCACAGTATGTTCTTTGTCAGGAACGTTTCGAACGAGAGATAACTCTGGTTCGTAGAATTTTCCGTCAATAGTGTTGTCTTGATAGTCTTTCAAAACATAAACCGGTACCGGATGAGGAATAACTTGTTGAACGAAGAATATCTCTTCCTTAAATCGATACGTGTATCCCTTTTCCACTTTTCCTTTCCGAATGGAAATCCGTACGGCATCACCAACCTTGTAGCGCGGTTTCTTTACCGTGGGCTCCGGGTACAGCTTGTTGTACACGGACAACGAATTTTCTTGCTTGACATCGATAGGTCGCAATCCATGGGCGCTATGCAAGGAGTGATTGTACGAGTGCACAATGTCCGGCAATTTGTCGATATAGTGAGTGCTGACGCGGTAACGGAATAATCGGAAAATGCGGGATTTGATCGTACGAATCACACGCTCAGCCATAGCACATTTTATGTCTTCATTCTGGGATGTGAAAAACTGGACGTTCTGGTCTTTTAAAAACGCACGCACAGTTGAATTCAGCATTTCGGTTCCTTTGTCGTATTGCAACTTTTCCGGTTTACCGAGTTCTTCAAACGATTTCTGAAGGGCATCGCGAGTTTCTTTTCCGGTCTTTGTCTTCAAGGCTTGAACACTCAGCATCTTTGAGAAGCAGTCAATAACAAACAACAAATACTTTATTCCACCATTTTCTCTGGAATATTTTGACAAATCGGCCAAATCAGCCTGATATTGCTGCCGCAGATTGGTAACTATCACTGGATTGCGTGGAAACCGTTTCCGGCTTTCTTTGGTGACAGTGTACGCATCGATCTCCTGCAATATCTCCTCCGCTTTCCGTTTGTTGGCTCTGGTCTTTAGCGTTCTTCGGAATCGTTCGACGCCGCCAAAACTTCCGGGATGACGAGGATCGAGGTACCTCTTCATTAGGCGATCCATCGTTGCAGCAATTGGAGACACAGTTAAGCTTAAAAAATCGGCACAATCGAATCACAGATGGTAAAAATCCAGACATTACGACAGTGTGATCCAACTAATTTTGCGTTTCATGCCGTGTCCCGTTTGGTGTTTGTGTGATCGTAAGCGGGGCACAGGAACGGGTGCTTCATCCGCTTTCTCTTTGGGGCGACTAGGGCGGGGCTTTTTGGTTATAGGCGGAGTAGGAGGGACGTATTTGGGAGGTTCCACGAGATTTTCATCGGGCATGGCTTTTTGCTTCAAAGCCAGGAAGCGTTCTAAGATACTGGAAAGTTGACTGGCTTTCTCATATTCGCTTATATCTTTGCGTTGCAAGGTTTCGGCAACTAAGTTGTCTAGTGAGACGACAGCTTTGGCTTCGGGAGGCTCTCGATTGATTTGGATCTTTTCATGTAGTCGCTCCTCCATGACGCGGCGAGGAACAATAAAATATTCATCCATTACCAATCAACGATGTAAGCACACCGGCAATAACAGGCAAGATAGCACCCAAAAATCCACCTTGTTGTAAAATCCGCTTCTTGGCTTTCATAGGATATCTTCGCAAAGCTAACAGCTTTAATGCTTTGCGGTGGCGTTTGCACTTGTTCAGATCGGAAGGTGATAAACTGACGGTATTCTTGATGATGTTGGCCGCTATTTCTTCCAAAGCCTTCAACTGCGGTTTATTAGCAAATCCCATCAAGACGCGACGCTGTTTCGGCTTTAGGTGTTTCAAAGTGATCACAAAAGGGGCAAGAGCTTCTACACGTTCCGACATGGCTTCGGTATATCATTAGAATTGGCTTTCACAAAAATCCGCATCGACTGTTTGGGAAGTGTGTGTGATCTCACTCTTAAATAGTCCGGGCACGTCGATCGCATATCAATTATTAGTGGCTCGTACGGTTCCGCGGTGACTTTGCGGTACGCATCGATCAGCTGATTCAGTCCGGTTTGACGAGCAAGCAGTTTAATTTGATTGATATCACGGACGTTCTTGAATAAAACAAGATACTGCGAGTTCAGCGTTATATCTCGCATAGATTTTCCTTGCTTATAAAGGTTCTGTAATAGCAGGATAACAGAAACATTTTTATGATGGATTCCGCGCGTAAACAAATTCGAACATCGCGCGTCTTTGCAGATATCACCAGCTAGATCGTCAATAATTAACAAGGTATGCTGGTCAGGATCAAAGAAATCTTCTGTTTCAAAAATTGCATTAATGCCCTTGATAAACTCAACAGATTCTTCCAGTTCACCGAATGCTTTTTGCCATTCACCGTAACAGTACACTACTCGATCAGGAGACGGACAGATCATCTGCGCGCGGTTTTTAATCAAAGATAGTACAAATTGCGTTTTACCCGACATTGTCGGTCCACAAACACACATACCGAAAGGCGCTTGAAAGCGCGGATATTCCTTTAGTGGGCTACACATGATGACGACAACAAAGATTAGAAATTAAGAAACCGCTTTAATACATACAACACAGACTTTTACACTCAGGATTTAAAGAACGATGTACTTCCTCGGGATCGTCGCCTTTCTTCCACTTGTCCACCACCAGACCGCAATACACGCATTCAGCAGTATTCCCTCCAGTCCACTGGAATCCAGCGGCAGCCAGTCGCACTGGATGGACGACCCGGGATTTCCAGCTGACAGGGAAGGACGCCAAGCGGTTCTCGAAGGTTTTCATATCTTTAAGAGGTCCCAGTTCGTCTTCCTCGCAGCAGTAACATATGTTGCCATTGCTTGGCCCTCGACGATCCCATAACTCTTCAACGCAGCAGTGGGCTTCATTAACCCTCTCCTGGAGGCGTTGAATCTCGGCGATGGCATCCAGACCCAGTCGGCTGACAATCACGGGACACTGTGGACGGTAGCGGGCATGATGAACGTCCACTTGTTCATAGGGCAACAAGTTCCACAGCCCCAAACCGCAGTAGTAGCAATGGATGAGGTTGGACCAAGTATGAGAAAATCCGGCCGCCGCCATATCTTCCTTCGTCTGCGTAGTGAACTGCCATCGCTTCACATGGTTGAAACTGTTCAAGCGGGCAAGATAATGTGCCATCCGCGGGTTGAAGGGGGCCATACTGCAAATTAAAACAGATAAAATAATGCTGCAGCAAGACCAGCAACCAAATCACGCACATTGTTCAATACTCTTGCCAGTACTGGTTCAGTTGACGATGGATATTTGCATACGCTAGGCGCAGGGCCTGCAGGTAGCGACAGTCTGGATTGCCTGTGGCGTGCTTCTTCCAAACATCGTCACCCCACTCGGCAAATGTTAGCCGATGACCACAACAGAAGCACTTGACGAGATAATAGCCCTGGTCTGGCACGTAAATGTATCCGGCTTCGGCTAGACGACGAGGGAGTTTGACACGGGAATTCAACTGGTCGACAGGAAAGGTCATCAATCGATTTTCTACTGTGCTAAAAGCAGACGTACCGTAAGACTCCATTGCACTAAAATGAAGTCCGTTTATCCGTGATCGACCGTTTTATAGTCGATCCTCCTGTGCAATTTGTGGATTTGCACACGTCGCTTCTATGCAACTTGAAGATTTTTCACACGGCATTCATGTGCACTTTTAAACCTCCGCTCACATTTAAGTAAACGCTATTGATTCAAATAATAAGAATCGCTCACAATGTCCAACCTACAAGCAATGCTCCCCGATTTAACCCGCCATGAGCGGCGGTGGGAAAAAATCGTTGTTGCCGTTTTCTACTTCCTCTTATTTGCAATGTTCACTTTTTTCGTCATGTTGGAATCATTCGGAAAAGTACTGCTGACAGATCACTGGAATCACACACTTCGGAATTCGACCTCCTAATGAAGGTAGTTGCTATCCGTTGGCGGATATTACTGCTTTGCTAATTGCAGCTTTTTTATTTTTAGTTCACGTTCGTACACCCGCCTTAGGAGAGAAGCGGGAGCAAGAGCAATAAAAGACTTTTGATTATTTGATGTTAATTTAGTTGGCTTTTAAATAGGAACCCGTGGGGGTTTCCGTGGGGGTAACCATGTCTTGAATAAATAAAACAATTGCACCCTACAAAGCCGTCTCGCTTTATTCACAACTTAATTCTATCCAAATACTGAGTCAATACTGTTTCTTTAAGATCAGACAACTGCTGGAGGTCAAACTCTTTCAAGAAGTTTACATGCTTAAACAGCCAGGCGTAGTAACAACCATCCGGCAACGCCTTAAGAACGCGCTCTTTAATTTGTTTCTGCGGCTTCTTCCCGTTCTTCGTATTCTTTTCCATAAAATCAGGCAGGTAAAGCTGCACCTCATTATTAAGCTCTTCAAGGTACTGATCCCAAAACGACGACGGTAGTTCTACGAGGGAGAAAAAAACAATTAGCATTATGATTCAAAAAGTGCTTGAAATAACTCACTGCCCGCAATGCGACCGTTGTAAGGCACAAAACAGTCCAGCAACAGCAGCTGCTGATCAGCCGGAGCATTCCTGAACTGCTGCAGGACAAAGTAGCGTATGCTGGGAAAACAGCGAGCCGAAATCTCGAAACGAACAAGAACGCCACGCGGTGAGGTTCTGAACAATCCGCGCAAGTCTGGCCCTAAATCCCGAGCGACCGGGGATGGCAGTTTGTGGTCTACATCGATTTCCAGTGGATTCTTGGCGTCGTGGTGGCTTCGGTAGGAAAGCGCATACTCCAAGAATGCTGCAAACTGGTCTTTGGACATCTCCGGCTTTTGGATTGAAGTGTCAAGGCGTAGTTCATACACTTCATTACGACTGTCTCTTATAAAATGCAGTACTGTTGTGTCGCCGTGCGAAATGGTGTTGGTAACTGCGCCACCTACAAGCGTCAAGTTACATTTTAATTGCAATTATTTAAGAAAGGAAAATTCAGAAGAAAATAAATAAATAAAACTTCCGAATAAATTAAGGATCATTTGAAAAAAAAAACATAAAAATGTTTTTGAAAACAATTTGTACCTTGCATTGGCTGAGCGTTGTTGGGAAGAGCAGCAACAGGTGCCGCGTTTGCCACGAACTCATTAGGCAACAGTATGGAATACGGCTGAGCCCATCCTTCAGCAGGAATACCACTGGAAGCCTCTTCAGCAGGGGCAGCGTAACCGCTTTGCACTACTTCGAAAAACTCCGGCAATTCTTCCAAAACAGGAATTTCAACCGCAGGCACATCAGGAGATCCTAAATCCGCTAGAATGCTTGCGAGATCATGAGCAACATGTTTGTACGGTTTAGCAGGCTCCTGGCTAGCTACAGGATGTGTGAAGGGAGAACCTAGCATAAACTCTGACAAATCGAGAGAATCCAGCCAGTCAAACTCCATAGCTGAATTTAAAAGGAAAATTCTGCTGTCTCAAAGTTTAAAATTAAGAACTGAAGAGCGCTCTAACTGTCGGATGCAGGGCCAATTGAATCCTCGTATGCAAAACGAGCCCGTTGTTCTCACGATTCTTACTGGTGGGAACAAAGTACTGCCGGTACCACCCACGTAATAAAGTTGCTCTTTGTGTTCCTACGTCACAAGAGTAACGGGCGCAATTACGGCAAAAAACGCGGGACACAGTACACAATGCCTTTTGTAGGTAATAACGCGTTATCTTTGTATTTCTAATAAATCAGTATAGTTTTTGGGACTTTTTTCAGCGTTTGATATTGATTTTCCCATCAGAAAATTATTTGATTCATCCAGAAGTAAATTCAGTACAAGTACAAAAAAAAATAGTGCAGTTGTCGATCAAAAATAAATCTTACATCAAACGAGAAACAAAGGAACATCTATCAGAAAACGTAAGATAAAATCATACATTCGTTTTCGCAAATAAAAACGGCAGTCACACAACAGTGGACAAACAACGAGAAAAAAAATAGCTACATCGCTTCATCAAAATCTTCTTCCGCTTCTGAACCGTCGAAGTACTCCACGTCGTCATCATCCTCTTCTTCGTCTTCGTCGTCGTCATCATCATCCTCCTCATCGGAGTCTGCATCCAGCACCTGCACATCCTCGTTGCTGGCAGAGGGACCCGGCGCTACAACTCCAGGCTGTTCATAAAGAGGCAGGTGTTTCAGGGTGCGCTACACATTAGCCTCCTCCACGTCTTCAGGGCGCAGCCATATAAACCACGAGGCTGCCGATTTCGGCCACGTGCGCGATCCAGGGTTGCAGAAGTTCATCTGGGCATCCTTGTACCAGAAACGGAGCTTCAGGCTGATGGGAAACTGTCCCAAAAGATAGTCCCGACGCCGGTCCCTTTCGCGCCACTTTGGGCAGGGAAAGTTCATTCCCTTTTTACCCTTCGCTCCATGAATGTGGCGGTAGACTACATCCGGCCGCCCCATTGCCCCAAAGATAATGAAGCAAAACGGACATTGGAAGTAGCGAGATCCGTTGTGGGCCACGCGTTTCTGCAGATCCTCCATAATTTCGGCGACCTGGAAAACAGAAGTAGACGCTTACAAAACAACAACGTCTGCGGTGGTGCAAAGATGTCTCTAGTGGGGGTTCCAGTGGGGGTTCCAGTGGAGGTTTCTGTGGGGGTTCCGATGTGGATTTCCTGCCAGTGTTGTTAAACAGTATTTTAAGCGAGAGTTACAATTACCTCGGTGTATCCATTTCCTACATCGCGACTATCCACCAGATGAAATTTCGTTGGAGCGAAGAACGCCTGGCTACCATTGTAGTGTTTCCACTCCCCAATTGTGTGGATCCACTCGAACACTGGCCACGTTTTGCCATCGATTTCGATCGTGGTCACCCTCCTAATGCGATGGTCGCCGTAAGAAGCGCGTGCAGTTTCGGCGGAACCAGCGGCACGGTCACTCGCGCGCTTCCGTTGTTTGGGGGCTCGCTTATTGACCTTACGGGTGGTCCGGGTGGCTGTAGGTGCCTTTGCGTTGCACCGCTTGGGAGCTCGACGCCGGGGCGGGGAGTAAGCCTTGTTCCACACCGGCGAGGTCACGCGGCGTCCAGACCCCGGCCTGGATGCTGAGCTGCCAGGAGCCGCCACGGTGGGTCTGCAAAACAAAACAGCAACAGTAGGACCTATCCGTGCTTTGGTAAGCAAATGTCCAAATACCGCGGTTGACGGTCGCTGCTGGTCGAAGCCACTTGGGCACCGCGCGTGCGGCTAGCGACCGAGCCCTGCGGAGAAGACGCAAGACCAGAGCCCGAACCCCGCGGCGAACGTTGTATACTGACCGATACCGATCCCGGCGGTGAGCTTTGACGCGAAGACGGTGGTCGGGCTCGGGGCGGCTGCACAATGATTTTGTACGGCGGACGTTTTGGGGCAGACACCGGCAGAGCTGAACTGGCTGGCGGCGGTGGTTGATTTACGCGCTCGACCGTGGCGGTGCTCGCTGGTACCGTTTCCGATCCCTGCGGACTGGCCGAAGCATCGTTAGACCCTTCCGCTTCCGACCTCTCCTGACTGGCCAAAACGGTGTTCACCGCGGCGGTGCTCTCCGGTTCGGTTCCCGACACCTGCTGACTGGTCGCAGTAGCACTCATCCCTTCCGCATCCGACCCCTGCTGATTGGCCGCAGCAGCGTTCCGCTTCCGGCACCTCCGGAACGGGTTCGGAACTTTTGTTTCGGTCAGTGCTGTCAGCCACGTCATCGGTTGGTTTCTCGTTAACGGACAACACTGGCTCGCTGTCAGACTCTTCGGACAAAACGGGGCTGGCAAGTCGCGGGGGTGGTTGCGGTGCAGTTCTGAAGGCAACAACAAGCATGTCTTCAGCCAGTGATGTGTCCATTACCTCCTTCTCCGGAGTGTTGTTTGTGTAAGTTTGCCCTATAAATATAACACACCGACAGTGTAAAATAAGTGCAAGTTTATTTTCTCCCTTGTATTTACCATCGAACTCAATGGCTTCGATCTGAAAGCCGACTCTATCGGAAATCAGTTTTCGGATACTAGTTAACTGAAAAGGAAACACATTCACGATGAAAATAAAAAATCAAAATAAGAAGTGATCACAAATTCTGTTTCTCATTACCGTATTATAAATCCCACGGTAAGCACAAAGTTGCTGCGGTTCGTGCCATGGATTCCGACTCTTATACGCATGATTCTGAAGAAAAAAAACTCAACCCTCTGCACAGCAAACGGTTAGCGCAAAGGAACAAGATGAAAGATGCCGCACGGCGGCCAGGCTTTCATGTAATTACGAAACTAACCATACCTTAACTTTCTGTGTTAATGTGCACAGAGCTAATACAAGAACAGAAAATTGACAGCATGCACCGCGTTAGTCAGCTTGTCAGCACAAACCTGGTTACGATTTCCGCAGGTGAAAAGTTGAAGAAGAACGGCTTCTCACGATAGCGTAAGGAATCAAATTTCGCCCCGTCTTTTAGTGTGCCTAAATTACGAAAAATTTGTAGTGGGATTTTAAGATTTATTATTTAATGTAATAAGAAAGAAAATATCAGAGAAAAACAAAACTAATCCATGAGATCACTCTACGTAAGAATATATTTAGCTGTGGAGAGCAGTTCCCTGTACGTAACAGCCAAAAGACAGTGGTCTACAGACGGGTGAACTGTTTACGCCGTATTTCAGAAAATGCGAAATTCCTTACCTGTGTAATGGACGCTCACGGCCTATTCCTTCTTCCGAAAGATGGCTTCTGTAAACAGAAGAAGAAATATAAAATTAAAACCAGCAAGATGAGTCCTGCACAGCCTATGAGACGATACAACGCTGCCCCAATACAAATTGCGAACACAACCAACAAACTGCACTGCACTCCTCAGTGAACAGCAGCTCCTTTTTTCAGCAGCTGAAATCCGTCCTCTCGCACTGGCACGGCATTATCCTGCATCCCTATTTAAAAAAATACTAAGGGATTGCTGGCTTACCTCACACAATGTGCAGAATCCCACCGAAGAGATCACAATAACTTCCGTAGGCAAACAATCCGAAAAAACAGCAGGCATACGGCACCAACTTGTTGCTGAATAATTTTCGAAGTCCAGAGTAAGACTTGTGTTTGATTCCGATGGAAGACACAAATACGGTATCAACAGTTATCAAAATACTGGAAAATGGTAGGAAAAAACACGTGAACATTAAAATACAAAGTGAAGAACTCGTACAAATCAACAAGTGGAGAGCTCGCTGAATGCGGTCAGTATTTATTTTTTAATTTTTTATTATTTATTGCGGTAGTCTGTGCTAACTGCCACCCGCACGCTGTTACGCAATCCGCACACCGTATCCCACCCTACGCAGGACTGCACCCATAGACATTTTCCCAATTATATGGGCTACAGTCCTGCGTAGGATGGGCGTTTTCTATTGGCTACGGGTCCTGAGTGCTGCTTGTGCTCGTATTCTATTTTCCAGGTCGGCGGCCGAGTCGATATGACGTTGCTCTTGTCGGCATATCCTTCCCATCTCGGCGGTGTAGTTCTCCGCTGTGTGGGGGATCTGTGAGTAACTCATTCTGAGTTTCACTGCTTGTTTTATGGCCTCTTCCTTCTGGATCCGTAATTTTCCGATCTCCACTGACGGTACTCGGTTAAACGTCTGTTGGCCTGCCGAGGTCGATGGAGTTGGCTGAGTCGTCGGCGTTGCGATCTGTATGGTCGTAGCCGAGAAGCCAGTGTCTTCTCCAAGTCTTTGGGCTATCTGTTGGGCTACTGCCTGCTGGCAGATCTGGAGAGATTTCTGTTCCTTCGCGTAAAGCTTGGTGTTGGCGTCGTTCAGACGAGTCTCTTAGTACGACAGTTGGCCTAATAAGATCACCCGGTGTTAGGTGTGGTTTGGATCTATTTGGGAAGTCTGAGACAGTGCTTGGCTAATCGTCTCTATGTGAGCACGAGAACGAGCATGTCGCTTGCTGGCGCAGTTCCACTTCGGTTCTCCCGTTGGTGTTAATTTGTGGGACGACCGTAAAGGGTCGAGGCATCGACGTTACGACCTGTGTGGTCGTCGTCGGAACAGGCACTTGTTGGCTCTGTCCTCCGACCTGACTTCTATGCTGGTTCAGCCGGTTCATTAAGTGGGTCGTTGCGTTCGGGTCCATCCAGAGATTCTGTTGTCTGGGATGTCCAAGATGAGTTGGCGAGATTGGTGGAGTAATCGGACCCGACATCACAACGGGTCGCACTCGCAGTCGAACGCCAGATGCGTACACACAAACGAATTGTACAGCAGGGCCGCAGCCACGTTTTATTCCGCATGCTTGAGGTGTCATTAATTAATGCAATAATTTACAACTTAACTGAAGAAAAAAATGTATCCATTTACTCAATGTAACTTAGCAAATTAATACGCGTTATTAATTAATATAATTAGACTTAATTACAGTAACACAACCTACACAATATTACAAATGTGCATTGATAATCGTAATCACTAATAATAATTACTTTAATTACTAATCGTAATTCCTAAATTAACAATCACTAATAGTCTTTTACTAGTAAGTAATAACAACTTTTAAAACTAAGTGAGGCTAAATTATTAATGCGGATTAATACTTGCACCACATTTTATTAGCAAATTAGCAATTATAATGCTTTAATATTTACTATATGTTACGGGTTCCGGTGACCACGGTGTAAAGCTCGGTTGGCTATGCACAACAACGGAGGTGAATGTGTATGTGAAATAGAAAACGCAGCTTCGAAGCCGCGTTTTGTAATTCATCTGTGGATCACGTAGCGGACCAATGAGCGCAGCCGTTAGCTTTCGGCTAAGAATGTTGTGGTGACTAACTCGCGCTATCTTTCACGGGCGCGCAAGAGAGCGTTGTGCCCTACTTCAGCAAAAACATCTGCTAAATGTTTAACCCGGTCTGATCAGCACTAGTATTTCTCTGGACGCGTTTGTCAGTTACAATGCACGGTTTTACAAACTCTAGCAGTGCCGCCGTTCAGTTGTGACGTGCTACATTATAACAAGTCTACTTTTTCCGCCTTGCAAAAATCCTTTATGAATGGAAGAGTAGCTCTTTTATTGTTTTGTTGGAGGGCACTTTACTGTGCTGAAAGTTTTTCGATTGGTCCGAAGAAAAGTTTTTGATTTCGAAGTTCGAGCCTGCCTTGCGATATAGACCTGCATAATGCAATCCATATCGTACTGCAGGCTGGAAGCTGTTAATGCAGGCTGCATTAATAAACATCGTCTCTTCCAAATATCAAACCGGAAATTTCATTTATCTACAGACAGTATAACAGGTTTAAGGCGGCACCTGCGGACTTATCGGAGATTTTAGTCATTACGCTCATGCAAGGACCCATGCTTATGTATTTCCTTCGGTACCAAAAGACCCAGCATAAAAATGCATTTTGGTGGCGCTGACCGACGGACAGATATCTTGAGTTGCAAGTGGTCTGAATATATACGGCCACCGCGCATGTGTGCATTTGGTACCAAACGCCCCAGTGCACATGCGCATTTTGTGGCGGTGACCGACGGACAGACATCGCTTTTTCCATTAGCGCTAAACATAGAGGACCTCCGCTAGGCCTCAGTCAACAAAAAAAAGTTAAGGAAATCAACAAAGTACGAAATAACCATAAGAAAAATTTAAGAAACCTACGAATAACCTAAGAACAGCATAAAAATGACCTGAAAATAACCTACCAAAAACCTGAGTTTAGCCTAAAACTAACCAGAGAATAACCTAAGAAACCTAAGAAACCTATGAAACTTAAGAAACCTTAGGCTTCGTCCCCTTTCTAAAGCGTATCTCGTTGCGATACAGCACCGTATCTAGTTTCGCTACAGTACAAAAATGGGACACTTTTCGGTGCGCACCACCAAGATGCAGTACAGGCTACGCATATCGAAACTGGGCTCGCTCTCCGTTTCCTGTATCGAATCTTCAGCTTTGGCCCCGTATCGCTGTATTTGCGTACCATCGCTTCGATCGCATATCGCACTGCTTACCAGCTTTTTTTTGTGTTCTCGGAGTTTGTTGGAAGAATTCATTTGCTAACTGTTTTTATGCCTTCATTCTAGTTAGTTCCTAGTCTGAATTGCTAAATGTTGTTCCCTGGATTGAAAGTTTTTGGCATCATCGTCCTTACTTTTTACGTTTTAGCTGATGATGAGTCAGATCAGTCGCAAACGGCCCGCGCTCTAGCTCTGACTCAGACTCTGACCGCTCAAACTCTGACTACTCAAAGTCTGACTTTGACTGTCCGAACTCTGACTCTGACTAAATAACCTAAGAATACCAGAAACCTAAGAAAATTAAGAAACTGAGAAACCTACGAAACCTAAGAACTCTAAGAAACCTAAGAAACCTAAGAAATCTAAGAAACTTAAGAAACCTAAGAGCCTAAGAAACCTATTAAGAAACATAATGAACCTATCGAGAAGCCTGAGAAACCTTCAGAATCAGAGTCACACTGTGAGCGGTCAGAGTCAGACTTTGAGTAGTCAGAGTCAGAGTTTGAGTGGTCAGTATCAGAGTCAGAGTCTGAGTTGGAGTCTGGGCCTTGTGGAAACGGGACGCATTCAGATATGCAGCATACCTCGGTCCCGAATCT